ATTCTGTTATTTAATAATCTGAAATTGTAAATTAATCACATTATTTAGAAGTTGATTAAAAAAGGAGAGAAACAATTTATCCTAGACGCAGAGAAATGTTTTATTTAAACCAAAATTTCAATTATGTACTTTTTGCATACATTTAAAGTAGTTGTAATTTTTTGACGAAAAAAGTATTAAAATATAGACTAGTTAAAATTAATTACTGATCTTGGTGTTTTTGTATAATATTTTTAATAAATTATCACCGCTAGAAATTTTGGGAAAAGTTATCAAAAAAAAGTTTACACATAGTCCTTATAGGAATTGCAATAAAGTTCAGTGAACGGAAATAGGAAACGGTAGCTAGCAAGCTATTTGATTTTTATAGTGTATTCGTGACAAAGTAAGTGACTTCGATAGGAAATTTAAGAAAAGAAGTTACTGCCTCAAAGCACTCTAATTTAACTGGTTCGATTTTCGATCTCTATATTCTGGTAATTTAACACCAGTAGCAAAACTTGCTCATTGAACCTACTTCTTCAGTGAGAACATGCTCACGAAGAGTAGAATCAAATTCAGAATACCAGATCACATTACATTCAGATAAGAAATTCCTGTGTGTTGTTATTTTAAAGGGGTGTGCGAGAAGACATATATAGGAAGGCTCAGGCCTACCAGTGAATTGGGATTGGGCAAAGGAAATATACAGGTATAGTATCGATTGGTACCGTTCAGTGCCAGGTGTTGGCTTGTGTGCCTTTCTCAACCCTCTTGGTTTGTTCACAAATCACCTGACTCTTTATAGGAGTTTCCAGCAGGAGATATTCGACACCCTTAAGTTTGTACGCTCTCTTCATTTCTCTTCCAACCTTTCCATTCTCTGTTTCATCATAAAACAGTTGTGCTAACACCCTCAAATGTCAAATATGTATATTTCAGTAAAAAAAAAGTTTGTGGTAATGTTTCAACAGTTTTTAATAATCGTCATTTTTCCTGAAAACAGGATGCAGTCAGATTATACATATATTCTAGAAGTGTTTTTGCTTTACGGATTTAAAAAATTTGTTTTGTTAATAGAACAAGTGACTTGTTGCTTTTTAAAGGAGATACAGCCTACGAATATCATCAAAACAATATTTTCTGACAATGTTCCCAAAAAGACTTACCCTAAATATATTATCAAAAAGACTTATCCAACAAATGTCACCAAAACAATATACATTGGCCAGTGTCATCAAAAAGACCTACCCTAAACATATCACCAAAGCAATATATTCTAAAAATATTATATCAAAAAGAGTTACCCTAAGATTGTCATCATTCCCATATACCCCAACAATGACACCAAAAATACTTACCCTAAATATATTATCAAAAAGACTTACCCTAAGAATGTCATCAAAACAATATACCTTAGCCAATACCATCGAAAACACTTACCCTAAAAATATCATCAAAAAGACTTACACTAAAAATATCTTCCAAGCAATATATTTTGGCAATACCATATTAATAAGAGTTACCTTATGATTATTATCAATTCTGTATACCCCGACAATGTCACTAAACAGAATTAGACCAAAGATATTATCAAAAAGGCTTACCCTACAAACGTCACAAAAACAATATACCTTGGGCAATATCATCAAAAAGACTTACCGTAAAAATATCATCAAAACAATATATTCTGGCAATAACATTGTAAACAGATTTACCCTAAGATTATCATCAGTCCCATGTACCCACATTTATTATGAATTTAAATACTTAATAGTTTTGATACAACGTATCAGTATTTTTTTATGGCGTAACTATTATAAAAAAAGATATCTTTAACTTATCTGGTGAGCTGACCTATCATAACACCTACCACTTACTAAAGAGTTGCATCATTTCATATAATTTGTTTAATAAGGAAATACTTGGAAAGTGAAACGTTTTTATATTTCTATTCTAAGACTGCCTGGTGATAAAGAAGCAGATTAGATATTTAATATTATAATGGTGGCGTACATTTTTCTATTTATTTTATTAAGAAAGTGGAAAATTTGTCATTTTACCGTAAAAATATTATCAAAGCAATATATTCTGACAATAACATAGTAAACAGATTTACCCTAAGATTATCTTTGATTGCATACAGCCCGATAATGTCACCAAAAAGACTTATGCCAAAGATGTCATCAAAACAACTTACCTTAAACATACCATGAAAACAACATACCTTAGCTAATATCATCAAAAAGACTTACTCTAAAAATATCATCAAAACAATATATTCTGACAATACCATATTAGAAAGAGCTACCCTAAAAATATCATCAAAGCAATATATTCTGACAATACCATATTAGAAAGAGCTACCCTAAGATTATCATCAATCCCATGTACCCCAACAATGTCACCAAAAAAAGACTTCTCCCAAAGATTTCATGAAGAAGATATACCCTAAATATATTATCAAAAAGACGAACTCGAAGAATGTCATTAAAGAGACATTCCCTACAAATGTCATCAAAACAATATGTCTTAGTCAATATTATTAAATAGACTTAGATTAAAAATATCTTCCAAGCAATATATTTTGACAATACCATATTAATAAGAGTTACCCTAAGATTATCATCAATTCTATATACCCCGACAATGTCACTTAACAGAATTAGACCAAAGATATTATCGAAAAGGCTTACCCTACAAACGTCACAAATATAATATACCTTGGGCAATAACATCAAAAAGACTTACTATAAAAATATCATCAAAGCAATATATTCTGACAATAACATAGTAAACAGAGTTACCCTAAGATTATCATCATTCCCACATACCACGATAATATCACTAAAAAAACTTACCCTAAATATATTGTTAAAAAGACTTACCCTAAAAATGTCATTAAAGCAATATATTCTGACAATACCATATTAGAAAGAGTTACCCTAAGATTATCATCAATTCCATATAACCCAATAATGTCACTATAAATACTTACCCTAAATATATTATGAAAAAAATTTACCCTAAAAATGTCATCAAAACAATATACCTTCGCCAATATCATAGAAAAGACTTACCCTAAAAATATCATCAAAGACGTTATCAAAAATATCATCAAAAGACGTTATCAAAAAGACTTACCCTATTCATGTTATCAAAACATTATATTCTGACAATGCCATATTAGAAACAGTTACTCTAAGATTTTCATCAATACCAAATACCTCTACAATGTCAACAAAAAGACTAACCCTATTATCAAAAAACTTAACTTAAAAATACTATCAATAGAATAAACTTCAGCCATAAATTCCACTAGGTGTCAGCTATTAAACACGTGTTTGTTTTTTATTTTTTGGTTGTTGCTTAAATAATTATTTGTGTGAGAAAATGTCGTCTAGTTTTGAAAATTGTGCAAAGTGTGGTAATATCATTACACGTGCTATTCCTACACAGTGTAGGAAGTGTAATCTTACTTATCATTCTAGCTCTGTATTACAGCTTTCTACTTTGTTTGATGGGTGGTTTGCTAGATGCTGTAAACCTAGGTCATTGTCGCTTTGAACTAATTCACAATCTTCATAGAATTCTGTTAATTTGGATATTATTATGAGAGCAATTATGGATTTATCCGCAACAGTGTCTAACAATTTTTGTACCATGACTGAAAATATGTCAGACATCAATAACTGTTGTCGAAGCGAGACTTGATAAATCCAAGAAGACAAGCTCAATCACGAAAGGTTGATTCTAATTTAGTAATTAATGTTTATATTAATGAACTTGCTGATCGAATTGAAAGAAAGAACAACCTTGTTTTATTCAATCTCCCTGAAAATGAGACTTTGTCAAATGATGGTAGTTTTTTGAAATCAGTAGTTACGACAACCAGATTGGAAAAATTCATTCAGATGGACGATCTTGATAATATACGCACTTTTAGAATTGATTCTAATGCGCAAAATTCTCGTTAGTCTCTCCCTGTTAGGATTGTATGTGCGACGGAGGAGAGAAAGCAAACCTAAAAAAAAATTCGTAAAAGGTAAAGAGAGACTCAGCTCGAAATTATCTGGCATATTTAATGGAGATTTTTTCTTTAATTTACCATTACAGTAGTACTGGTACTTTTTTATCGTACGCATTAATCAATAAAATCAAAACTCTTGATTCTAATTTCAAGTCACGCGAAACAAACTTGTTTCGTTCATTCACTTTAAACAATCAGACCACTGTGTAATTGCGGTTCACAATTTCTGATGGAATTACCAAGGAAACTTGATTCGTCTTTGTAGAAATTAGACTCATTAGAAAGGTCTTACAATTACTTGTTGTAATCGTAAAATTGTACAATATAATAATTAAAATTATCTACTTCTGTAATTAAATATTTAGAATTAAGTCACTTAATAGTAATTTATAAAAATTGGTCTATAAAATTTCTTCTCTGATAATATTTTTGTTTACTTTCTATAGTGTATTATAAAAATTCACTACTTTACTTGAATGATCGGCGCGTGATGTGAATTACGAATTTAAATACTTAATAGTTTTGATACAACGTATCAGTATTTTTTTATGGCGTAACTATTATAAAAAAAGATATCTTTAACTTGTCTGGTGAGCTGACCTAACATAACACCTACACTTACTAAAGAGTTGCATCATTTCATATAATTTGTTTAATAAGGAAATACTTGGAAAGTGAAACGTTTTTATATTTCTATTCCAAGACTGCCTGGTGATAAAGAAGCAGATTAGATATTTAATATTATAATGGTGGCGTACATTTTTCTATTTATTTTTTTAAGAGAATGGAAAATTTGTCATCAGATATCAAGAAGTCCGTTTTGCTGATTCCAATGCTTCTTAACAACAATTTTCAGTACCTGCTGGACTTCTTTTTACTGAGTAAGACAATCTTAATCGCGGTTATCAAGTGGTATCTAAATTTGTAACCATTTGGAAATGATTGCTATCTATAAAAAGTTGTTATGTTACAGATATTTTTTTTGTTACAGACACCGACTATTAAAGGATCTTCTAACTTGACACTACGTGGACAGATGGACAGGCGGCGGCCACCGTTTCTCAGGGGCACTTCAAAAGTTAAAGAGGTAATAAATTTACTTCTAAATAAGACATTCTTTTAAGTTACACAAATTTTCTTTTATTACCAGCTGCTTACTAATCGAAGATTTAAATACACACATATACAGTAGATGTAAAGTCAGCATAAAACATTTTTGTATAAATTAGAATGATCTAAGTTGCGTATTTATAAAGAAATTATAGTCACAGAAGTTAGTAAGGTGGTAACCAAGAACCGCACATGGGAAAATTTGGTGGAATTGGAGGAAGATGTCTAGGACCTCCAACATGGAGAATCATATTCATTCCTTCAACCATATGCCAATCGATATGACAATGAAAGAGCCACCAACCTATTTAAAGAATTATATTCAGTAAATAACTTTCACTATTGTAATTATGTAAAATTTTTATATTACCTGGATTATTGGCAATAAAACGCAATATAACGTATCCTGTTGTAGGAACAATTATAGTATCTTTCATGGATAAATAAGGATTGTAGCCAGAAGTATGTAGAACTCTTTGATGTTCCCTCAAAATTGAATTAACATCCTGAAGAGATATATTTTGAGTCCTTTCGGGTCCGATTTTCAAAACAGTAAATTTATATCCATGTAAGTGAAATGGATGGAAAACAGGGTCTACTCCAGCTGAATTAATTATATACTCAAGTTAAAAATAAAAATTTCATTAAAACCGGTTAAGCAGTTTAGAATATTTGCTTTAGAGAGAGAAATAATTACTTACCCTTGTCGTATAAAATAATTTCTACTACCGAACCTAAGTCAATATCCAAAACGTGGGTACAGTAACAAGGATTTGGACATTGATTTGTAGAAACGTATCGTCTATTACACATATCCTCGGAACCAAAATTACTTGTAATTAATAGTTCCGAAGGAGGGACGTAAACTATACCATCCGTTGTTGCAGTAGCAGTAAAAGGATACGTGGGATCTAAAAGCAAAAAAAATTCCATACTTTGTATCACTTCGGTAATTAATTTTTCCTTTCAACATAGCATGACATTTTGGAGTAAATTTTCTACGGAGTAGATAAATGTATAGAAAATGTTTCCTTATTTGCCTAACATTCCTTTTGATGTCAGTTAGTCACTATTTGAATTCCGGAGCTAATGACCCAGATAACATTGCGTGCACGCATATTTTGTACCTATTTATGCGCGCATAAATGCTTGCAAAAATGATTACTATAGATAAAGCTGCTTTGATCAAGCATTTAGTGCTTTCCATTAGCACACACATTCAAGCGCATCACAAAAAATGCGCGCCAGATGTACCTCCATGGAGGACACATATGTGTCGTCATATGAGCGCAGATATGACGCACGATGTCTGCCTTATGTTTACCTACTGCACGCATTTTGTTATCTAGGGAAAGCTTCCTTTCCAGAAAGATAAAGTCGTTTCATCTTCCTGGTGATGATTTCGGTATTCCTGGTTTTCATAATTAATTTCCTAGCCAAGTTTTGCAAATTTACTGCCTTATGTCGTGCTGTAATGTTTATTATTACTTACATGGCGATAGTTTATGAAAATTATTGGTACTGTAGAAAGGATTTTTCTCCCCAAACTCAAAAGCATGTACATCAAGTGGAAGAATAAATCTCACATCAGGTTCGCCCACAATCAGTCTCTCATTTAAAAGTTCTGTACCTTTAAGCTGATTACTACAAATAGCATTTGGACTAGACTGGTCACATTTACCGTTCCTAGGATTATACACCTGAAAGAATGTAAAACGAAATCTTATTAAAAATCCTTTTCTATTTTAATAAGTTTGTCTAGTCAAATTTTAGTACTTTTCCTTCAGGAAGAAATTTTCTGTATGTAGGCATTGATGACATAGGTGTTTTAGAAGCACCACGATAGGAAAGAATTGCCAATTGTTGATTTTCTTTCTGTGCACAATCATTAAATCCTCGTACTTGAATCCAATAGGATCCTGGTTTTTGATTCGCTGTTATGACAAAGTCGACTCTTTCACCTAGTAAGGTAAATTAAGTATTTTTATACAAAAATTTATGACAGTTGTATTTCAATTTAAAGTGTAATATTTTACCTCCTCCGGTATTTAAGGATGTTACAGTTTCTGGATTAGCTGAAGAAGCATCTTGTGCAATGATGGTTAATTCGTGATTTTCGATTGTAAACATTGAGGTGCATCTTAAACTGAATGCATTTATCAATCGGAATCTATATCTTTTTCCTGGTTCAACGTAAAACGTTTCTAAAGTCGCGTTAGTTACTTTTCCATCTGGGTCCTAAAATTAAATAATCTTGTTGTAATTTTTTATTTAGTACCTCTACCGCTCTTAAAGCACGCAACTGATCTGTCTACAGCCTTACAAACTCTTTCTATGTTGTCATATTCTAGGCATCGATTACACATTACATACCCTTTGGTCTGCGGTCTAAATCTGTTAAGCGTCATTTCACGAACTTTACAGTTTGGGCTAATCTTACAGACTTCGATCTTAAGATCAGTTTTACCGCACTTAAAGCACACAGTCGATCTGTTCACCGCCTTATAAATTCTTTCAATAAGATCATAATCTAGGAATTGATGATATCTAGTTACCTAGTCTTAATTTCTCCAGCTTTTCCTCTTCTTCTGGGTAGGTTCCTACAAAAGCTAACTTCAAACGACCAATTGGCAGAATAATTCTTGCTAGGTGACGGACATTTTTAAAGTAAATGAAATGCATGGTATTACTTACTAGTACCATACCACTAACCAAATACATCAAAAAGACTAGAAACTACAGATTCAAGAGAAGCAGTTTAGTTGCAATAAAAATAACGTCAAATACTGAATCCACTTGCCTGAAATCGACCTCTCCCATTTATCAAAATATTATCTGGTGGTTTTATAACTTGTGTATAGATGCCTGGTTGCTGTTCACTTGATAGATAATGAAACCAATCATGCATCATTATTATATGAGTGGGAAGGTCTTCATCATATAGATGCCAATTGGGATCTCGATTAGGACTTTGGCGTACAATTAAACTACCAAATTCACCGTCCATCCTGTGTGTTGCCACATGAGCATGATAGAAGAACGTACCAGCATTGTTGACACGAAATTGATACCTGCAAAATGTAATTCAAATGAAACCTATTAAATCTACTAGATAAATAAAACAATTTACCTAAAAGTACTTCCGGCCATTATTGGACATTGGGTTACCATTGGAACACCATCATAGTATTGATAACCTTCCTGAAATAGTCCATGCCAATGTAAACTCACTTCAAGTCCTTCTGCTTTATTCTCCACGTCTATTATTAACGTATCAAACTCGCATATCTGAAAAATTTAATTTAATTTATTTTCTTAATTATGAAAAGTTTATGAAGAAAAAATCTCTTTAGAGTTATTAGATACCTGAATGCTTGGACCAGGAAGTAGTCTGTTAATTGATAAAATTGTTCTCTTCTTACCATCAGCTTCAATGCATTGACAATTTGGTTTATTCAATAATTGATCCGTACCATTTTGTCGACAAGAAAAGCAAGGACTGTTAATTGATTAATTGCAGAATTATTTTTATTATGCCTCAGTTTATCAAGCTTTTGGCAATTTTTTCCATACTTACGTCCCCATAGTGTGAAAATACTCGATAGCCAAATGATAATAGCAACGTCGAGGTGGTTCATAGTTCGTACAGGGTCGTCTGCATTCTTCAAGAGTTGATAATCTCGAAGGATACGCATATTCATCTTCGTCTAATTTTACAGTACTTATCATACATAGAAACTGTTTTGTCAATCAAAAGAATCAATCAAAAGAAGCAATCAAAAGAATCAAATTCTGAAAAATATTTAAATACTTACAATAAATAAATAAATAAATACGTAAAGACCCATTTTTACTTGCTGATCGCTTAAAACTGCTTTCTATAATACAAGGAAAAATAAAAATTTATAATTTTCATGTCTTATCAACGGTTTTGTGCTTATACTTCACCTTGAATTATTACATACAATAAATTTTTAGGAAAAACAATTTATTTACATTAGGTTGGATAATTGTTTAACATATAATGTGTACATATAGAAACAATACATAAGGTACATTGTTGTAGTAGTTTTCAAATGATTATAAGACCTGTTCGAAATGAAACTTTATAAGTAAAAAATTTTTAATTTGAGTATTAAATAATACTACGTCAATAATACTACTGCGTCAAAACAAGGAACCTTTTTAAATATATCAATTTCTCGTTTTAAATGAGTTTCAGGAATGAATCTAATCTTGGATGACGATAAGTCAATGAGCGAAACTTTCCTAAAAATTTATTAAATATTTACTTGCAATATTCGGCATATTTAACTGAAAAGTTTAGTGAAAATTGTGTAAAGATTTAAATGTCCGATTAAATACAGTGGAACCTCGATTATCCGAACTAACCTAGGTAAGGCCAGGTTCGGATAATCGAAAGTTCGGATAATAGAGGTTTTAATGATTTTCATAATTAAAGTAAAAAAATTGGACAGTTGAACTATATATATTTAATTTAATACATTTTTTAAAGATATATAAGTATATTGTATGTGTAAATATATATTAATTTATAATAATAAATTAATAAAACAGAGATTCATGATTTTTTAAGATTTTTTTGACATAAATTTCGTTATTTTGCTTTGAAAGATGCTAAAAAAGTCCCGCGACAAAAGGAATGATAAAAAAAATAGAGAAAATAAATGTTAAGATTCGGAAGGTAAAGAAAAAGTCCGGATAACAGAAGTTCGGATAAAATGATTTTTGGTTCGGATAATAGAGGGTTCGGATAACAGAGGTTCGGATAATCGAGGTTCCACTGTAAATGTTTAGTGTGAAAATGTCCTGAACATTTAAATTACATTTTCGCTTAGTTATAATATTATAATTAGGCGAAAATGTAATTTAAATGTTCAGGAAAGTTTCGCGCTAAACATTTATTTAATCGGGACATTTAAATCTTTACACAACTTTCAATAAACATTGCAATTACATATTCCGAACATTGCAAGTAAATATTTAATAAATTTTTAGGAAATTTTCGGTGCTGTGGGGGTTACAAGACTATTAGACGTATTAAAAAAATTGACTAATTGCATGTAATCCCTATTGAAAATAATCACGTGGATTTGCACGTGTCGATTTAGATATGTAAATACATTTGTTATACACGTAATACATCACATTACTAGGAAAAATAATTACATATGAGGAAAAATTAGTCGCTCGAATATCAGTCAAGAATCACCGAGCGCCTCTGAGCCATTCACTTGACTGATACCAAAGCGTTTATCATATCGTTTTGCATACAACTCCTTATTTGTTATCAAAAAAATTAAATTGTAAATTATAAAAAACTTTCAATATAAAATAATTAGTTAGAATAAAATTCATTCTATGAAATTAAAAACAAAAATTTTTCTTCCTGCATCTATCGATTATATTTTCGTTGTTTTGAACGAACTCTGTGGAACTCGGCTTGAAATCACCTTTCACTTCTGATTATATTGTTTTCTTCGGTACTCATTGTGACCTCTATTGGAGACGTTCGAAAGCACGCTGGTAAACAAAAACAGATAACACGACAGCTGTAGACGCGGAACAGTAGTAACCACAACAAACATATGTCACAAAAATAATGCATTTACTATTCAATATAGTATTTCATATTTGTAATTTATCCTGTCTAATAAATGAAAGATACTAATTTAAAAATGAAAAATGAATCTAAATTGTGACTTGATTCAGAAAAATGGATTTACTTTCCTTAAAACCCATTTTTTTTAAAAAAAATTTGGCACCGTTAAAAATGAAGCTAAATGAAAACACATATAGATGACAATGTACTTTAAAAGAAAGGTACTGTAAAATCTTAAATTAGAATTATCTACTTTATGTAGTATTATTAATTATTAATTTATTTATATATACTTTTGAATACTTTATTTATAAATTTGTTTATAAATAGTTTAAAAAAATTAGTTTATAAATTTGCAATATTACCCCAAGGTGGATATATTTAATATTGTGGTAATATTTTTGGAATAGTTTTAAGAAATGTTGCCTTAATATTGTCCCAATATTTTCCATTAGCAACATTCGAGGAATGTATTTTTAATTATAAATTTCAGCCAAGCAAAGGTCGAAGTGAAAAAATGGAAACGAGACCAATTGGAATTGTTGGAAACAATGATGGTGAACGAGTTAGTGATGATGATCCAACACCTGACGGATTATTGAGACAAAATTATGAATTACGACATAGACTTGAGGAAGAAACTGCGAGTTATAAAAGACGTCTTGATACCTATCGACAAGCTCAACAGCATCAGGCAGCTTTAGTTTCTCGTTTGCAAGCCAAAGTAATTTTTTAATAAATTTTTTTTTAATACAAAAAGAAGCTATTTCTCTATACCTAATTTTTATATTTACCGCAGTTTCATTATTGGATTTTTCTCTTTTTTATTAAAGGTTCTTCAGTATAAACAAAGATGTTCCGAATTAGAAAATCAAATGGTTGAATCACTTCCAGCAGAAATAGTAAGAGTCCCATCATCTTCAGCAAGAGGTAATTCAGCATTGGATGCTGCACAGCAAACATTGCGTGAATTACGAGAAGAGCAGATACATGATTTAGAAACAGCTTTAAAAAAATTATCTGAAGAAAGAAGAAGGTATTGAGGATTTAAAAAATGGAACATTAGATTTTGTTAAAAGAAAATTAAAATTAAAAATCTATTTTTTGTTTTAGATGCGACAAACTTTTGCAATTAAACACATCATTGAAGGATCAACTGGAAGAATCACATCAAACAAATGAAACACTAACTAATGATCTTCAAAAATTAAGTAACGAATGGGATTCAATGAGAGAGGAATTATTAATCAAGGAGGATGAATGGAAAGAGGAGGAACTTGCATTCAATGAATATTACACATCAGAACACAATAGATTATTAAATTTATGGAGGAATGTAGTTTCAGTGAAACGTTTATTTTCCGATGTTAAATCATCAACCGAAAGGGATCTCTCTAAATTACGAAATGAAATCAGTATTGCCTCTAATTTCATGGTTTCTGCATGCACCAGCACAAAGTTTGCTGTTAAAATGCAAATGGCAGCAGCTCAACCAATTGTTAGTATATTAATTACACAGGCACACAAAAAAAAAAAGTGTCGTGGCCGAGACACTACAGTAGTATATTCCCATGTATTTTTGGCCGCTGAATCCGAATCTGAAGTCCGAATGCTCAAATTGGTTCTTTTTTTTGAGTTATACTCAAAAAACGACTCAAAACACGAATTTGAACCAAAAAAATTAAAAATTTTTTTTGTGACATGACAATAGCATATTTCCATGTATTTTTTCCCGCTGAATCCGGATTCGAAGTCAGAATTGACAGATGTGCTCAAAATTATGAGCTAATCTCAAAAACCGACTCAAAAAATCGATTTAAAATGACGAAAATGAAAAATTTTTTCTGTGACATTGCAAAAGTATATTCCTATGTATTTTTTCATGCTGAATCCGAATTCGAAGTCAAAATTGACAGATTTGCTCAAAATTTTGAGATAAGCTCAAAGAACTGATAAAAAAAACGATTTAAAATAAAGAAATGGAAATTTTTTGCTATGACACTACATTACAGTATTTCCATATCGGATCTCGCATTTAAAGTCAGAATTGACAGATTTATGACTGATTTGCTCAAAATTTTGAGATATACTCAAAAAACTGATAAAAATGTAATTTAATATGAATAAAGGAAATTTTTTGCTATGACACTACACTAGTGTATTCCCATGTATTTTTTCACTGTGATTCCAAAGTCAGAATTTTCAAAGTGGCTCAAAATTTTGGATTTCATTAAAAGTGCTCAAAAACATGCATGCTTGTACCTGTAACCAGGGTTTGAGTTCTAAAAAATTTTATGTCATTCTGATAATTCTAACTTCGAATTTGTATTCAGCGTATATAAAATTCATGAGAATACACTACCGAATACCAAAAAAATGAACTCTTTTGCATTATATTAAATTTTGAACATTTTTGGATTTAACTTAAAATTTTGAGCCAATTTAATAATTTTAAATTTGAATTTAGAAGCAGATGTAAAAACATGAGAATATACTAATGTAGTGTACTAGCAAGAAAAGTAGAGTTTCTTGACTTTAATTTTTGTAACTTAACAGATTATCTTGTGTGTCTCAAAATTTTGAGCCATTAGAATAATTCTGACTTCAAATGCGAGATCCGAGTGTAAAAATATATGGAAATACTGTAATGTAGTGTCATAGCAAAAAATTGCCATTTCTTTATTTTAAATCGCTTTTTTATCAGTTCTTTGAGCTTATCTCAAAATTTTGAGCAAATCTGTCAATTTTAACTTCGAATTCGGATTCAGCATGAAAAAATACATAGGAATATACTTTTGCAAGGTCCCAGAAAAAATTTTTCATTTTCGTCATTTTAATTCGGTTTTTTGAGTCGTTTTTTGAGTTTAGCTCAAAATTTTGAGCACATCTGTCAATTCTGACTTCGAATCCGGATTTAGCGGGAAAAAATACATGGAAATATGCTATTGTCATGTCTCACAAAAAAAATTTTTAATTTTTTTGGTTCAAATTCGTGTTTTGAGTCGTTTTTTGAGTATAACTCAAAAAAAGAGCCAATTTGAGCATTCGGACTTCAGATTCGGATTCAGCGGGCAAAAATACATGGGAATATACTACTGTAGTGTCTCGGCCACGAAACTTTTTTTTTTGTGTGCCTGTGTTATTATCTCTTCTCGTTCCATTTTCGAAAGTAATTTAATTATCCTTCTTTTCATTGTTTAATTAGACGCCCCAGTCGTTTCAACAAATTCAAAGTGCATCCGACTTAAAAGCAGAAATTGCTTCAATGAAACAACAATTTGATTTGGCACAAGGCGAAATTCGAATGAAGGATGAAAGAATTCAACAATTGTTGAAGGAGCTTCAATCTCTGGTGAGATAATTTTTACCCCAATTAACAAAATTTAATAATTGTTCCCAACCAGAAACATGATTTTTAATTTAAATTTCATATTAGGAGGAGAGATGCGGAGAGGCTGAGTCGGGTGTTACTCAAGCAATAAGAATGCAGGAGGACATTGAAATTTTACAAACTGCATTAAAAGATATTGCTCACGCTGTAATTCAGGATGCAGAATCTCGCAATGCTGAAAATAATCAACCACCACCTCATATTCATTTATCACCTTCGATACCAATTCCTCCAAAATCACCGAAACGTGGAACCAGAAGTGCCACCACTCCTGCCTTTGCCGAAAGTACAATCAGCGCTGTTCAAGCTGCTCTTCACAAATACCAATTATCAATTCACGAACTTCAGGTATTTCTTCTAATAAAGCAAAAATATCATCAAAAAGTTAATAACACTAATTATTTTTAGGTAAAATTGCAAACAAATAAAGAACAATTGTCACTAACTCGCAAGCAATGTGAAAGCGCAGAGGATGCGACTCTACAATTAGAAGGTAAAATTACAGAAATTATGTCACAATTAGATGCAAGTAGATCACAATGCTTGCAATTAAATCAAGAAAAGGATATTCTGCAAAAAAATTTGGATTCAATTCGATCCGAGAAAAATGCTCTTGATCGAAATAGACTCGAAATTACAAACATGGTGAGCTTTTTTATAATAGTTCGATACAATAATAGTGTAATAAAATTTTTCTTTATTACTTTCTTTTCACATTTCAGATGGAAACGTTGAATTCGGATTACGATAAATTACAAAAATCTAACAATAAATTACAAAAATTGTGTGAGAATCTTGATGATGAGAAAATGTATCTTCAAGATGAACTTGGAAGAATTCTTAAAGAAGCTGAACTCAGGTATAATTAATTATTCTATTCTTTCACTGCTTTAACTCTCATAATTTTTTTTCCTAATCTGATTTTCAATTAGGGAACAAACACTGCGATTAGAAGAGGAACGCAGCAGTAAAATGAGAGAAGAAATTCTGACACTTAGAGAAGAGTTAAGTAGAACATCACTCGACAGGGATATGTTGGAACAACAGAAATTAGAAACAGATAGTTTGATATCACAAATCGAAAAGAGTAAAGGTAAGAAAAACAATATAGTTTATTATCAACCACTGACATTTATAAATAATGTAATAATTCATATCAATTTAGGTGATGTTGAATTGGAGTTGGAGCAAATTCTACTCGAAAAATCAGACATTCAGGAAATGTTATCAAAAATGGAATCGATTTGTGTAAATCATGAAGAGGATAAAGCAAGACTTCAAGATGAAATAAAAAAGGTTTTGATATTATTTTTTTATGAATAATTCTGTTTTTAATATATGAGTGATGTCTGATATTTTTTTTTCAATAGTTGAATGAGGAGAAAGAGAAAGTAGCAAGCCAATGTACCGATCAGCAAGGAGATTTATCATCATTGAAGAAGGAACTTTTACAAGCTGAGCAAAATCGATTGGATTTGGAATCGGAAAAAGTTTCTCTACATGAAAAGATCAAAGTTTTAGAAATTGAGAAAGAAAAAGTTGAAATTGAATTAGGTCAAGTGTCACGAGAACGTAGTGATTTGAGCAATCAATTATCAATTTTGGCGAGAAAGAAAGAAACTCTAAATGAGGAGTTGATGAGATTGAGGCAACGACTCGAGCAAGCAAATGAAATGAATGCTAGGATAAATAGAAATCTCGAAGATCTTGTTAAAGACAATGAGGAAAAACAGGTACTTAAGGTTCATTAGTGCATTAGCCGCATCTTAATCCTCAACCTTGTGGAGTCTTAATACTTTAGATTTACCCAATAAGCCTCCTCCAATTATTAAACCAAGCTTTATACAGTACATTATGATCCAAATATTATGACCATTCAATTTCTCTACTGTATTTACAGGTAATTTTAGAAGCAAGTGAAAAGGAACTTCAAAGACTACAAGAGCAATTAGCATCAGTTCGCAGTGAAAAAGAAACTTTAGAAGGTGTTCTATTTGATACACAGAGCAATCTTGAAACGACACACGTTAAAAAAACTCAATTAGAGAAAGATCAGCAGGATCTATTAATAAAACAAGAAAGTCTAAAAGGACAGATTTCTCGTTTGACGAAAGAATTAGAAAATAGTGAAAAACGTGCCCAGGATATGAAGTACACTCTAACTCAGCAGAGTGAAAATCAGGAAGCTGAGTTTCAACAAATCATTTTAAATCTCAAAAAGCAGAGTGAAGACAGTATTAGAAAATTGAATGAAGAAAAGGTATTAAAAACATGTTTAATTTTAGATTTAGATTTTATTTTCATATTTCTTATTTTTACATTACAGGAACAGATTAGAGTTTCATTGGAAAAACGTCTGCAACAGAATGTATCACAATTAAATAGCGAGAAGGATGGTGAAATAGCGCAATTGGAAAAAAATGTACAAGAAATGCAAATGCATGTTGAAACTGTTTGCCAGCAACATGAAGAAGTACTCCTTCGTGCTGAAAATGATAAACAGCAGGCATTGCTCATTGGTAAAATTTTTAAGATCAAAATACTTCTCTTTTATGCTTCATTGTGAATCTAAAGAATAATCTATATTAACACGTAGAATTCAATTTTGTATAGACTTCTACGCAGGATTTAATGTCTACATAGGATTAGGATCCTATTATAAAATATGTCAATGTACTTTTACAGCTCATCACGATCAACAAGCATTAGTTGAAAAACTTGAGGGTGTTTACAGAGAATTAGAAGAAGAAAAAGGAAGTTTAGATCGTCTTCGAAGGGAAGCAGCTACACGCGCTGATCAGGATCGCATAAATTTGAATCAATTGCGTGACGAATTTAATAGACTAAAAACGCGATCAGAGGAAATGAAATTAAAAGGCGATGAAGAAAAGATTAAATTGGAACTAAAGATGGAGGAAGTCATAAAAGAAAAAGACTCTGCTCAAAGAGAAGTTGAAGAATTACAAGTTCAACTTCATATGACAGAGGACAAAGTCGATAGTCTACAGAATCTACTTCATGAAAATGACCGAAAACTCAAAGAAGGTATATTTTAGGATTTATTTTTAGATCTAAGATATGTATCATCAAATATTAATTTTCCTTCTGTTTTCTAACACAGCTGAAAATACAATCGAATCATGTCGCAAAGAATTAGTAGACATTCGTCGTCAATTAACGGATTCGAATTTCGAAAAAGATAAATACAGCAGTACTAATAAGGAATTAAGAGAATATGTAAAGAGGATCGAGAGCGAGAAAAGAGAACAGAATAGAGCACTAGAGGAAGGTCATCAAAAAGTTGCAGGTATATAAAGTAATAATATACCAATCATTTTGTATTAAATAAGAAGAATGGGTTCTAAATTTTATTGACGTATTTTAGCTTTAGAAGACATGAAGACTACACTTGACGCAGAAAGAACTCGCCTGCAAGCTAATATTCGAGATATGGAACGAGAAATTACACAATTACAACAGCAACTTCGTTTCACGCAGGATGAATTGCAAAAATCGCATTCAATGAATTCGACCGCGCAGAATGAAGAGAAAGAACTGCAAGGACGTCTTGCTAATGAAATTGAAGAGAGGGAGCGACTACAACTTCAGCTCCACCAAGTTAAAAAACAGGTAAACATAATTTATATATATTTGGAAGATGTTTTTTGCAAAGGAACTTTTGGAAAATATGTCTGCTCACAGGTACTTTTGATTCCTCAATCCAAAGTTATGGAGTTTGGTATAGGAAAATAAAAATTAATAAAACGTTTTAACTTAACTAGCTAGGAACCTACCAATACTCAATAAATCCCGAAACCCTTCTTTTAGGATTCATTTCGTCCACACCCGAAACTATCATAAGCTACAATCTCTTCCTATGTGCCCTTAATCAAGGCATCTATGACACCTAGTAACCATCACTTTCTTCCTAATGGGGCACGACATTAAGCCAAACTTTATACGTCCCAATTTCTGCAGCCTTTCCGCCTCCTCTGAGTCAGTGACTACAACCGCGAGCTTCACCCCTCGACGGTATGGTCCAAGGACCATCACCTTCCTGCTTCCTTCATACAACTGCCAACAGTGAAGGCCTTTTTATTGGAGTCGCCGCCGATCTTAATCAGGAGGTCTCCCTTTCTTGTAACCCTTGCAGCTACGACTCATGTGTGGCTGACGTCCGGGTTAACCTCCTTGCGAAGCTTACCCCAAACGTCAGCATACGTCTTACCCTGAGCTAAGCGGATGACCATTGTCGATCCCCTCCTTGCCTTTTTCAGTTTTTCTAATCTAATCTAATCTAACAACCGAGATCGACCTGGACTTTCCTAAAAAGAGGAAAGTAAGAACCTAGATTAGAAAACCCATTGTACCAGACTCCAGCTCGCTCGTTTATTGCAACCCCTTTAGAGTCCTGTTCTTCTCCAGAAATCCAGTATCTCTTCAATCGATAGGTTGCTTACCTGCTTAGGGTCAATGATTGTCTGACCCCAACTAGACAACTTGATCCTAGCTAACGCTGGGCATTCAGATAATATGTGAGTCGAAGTTTCGTTACTCTCCTCACACAGTCTGCACATAGGTGAAACTTGTCTACCTATTTTATGCTGATGGTAATTCAATAGTCCATGACCAGTAAGTAGACGAACTACGGTTCTAACTTTGGTCTTATCGAGTTTTAGGATATCGCTTGCTCGCCTCTTATTGTGTGCAAGCCACAACAAAGTCTTCGCTTGCCTTCCCACCTCAAAGTCCGCCCAATACTTCTCATGTTCCCTTTGACCCCATCTTTCTATGGCTCCCTTAACCAAGCACGGCATTATTGCCAATGTCGGTTCCGGACCTATAAATGCCGTCTTGTACCCGGTTTTCGCCAAGACGTCTACTCTTTCATTACCCTTAATCCCCGAGTGTTCCGGTACCCAGATCAATGAAAGTTTATTTACCGAACCCAACTCATCTAGTACGCTACGGCATTCCCAGACAAATTTTGATTATATTGTGGGATTTTTCAGAGCCCCTAAGGCCGCCTGACTATCTACACAAATACTTATCCTCTTGCCCTTTATTCCTTTTTTAATGGACAATTGGGCGTAAGTTAAAATCGCAGACCTCGGCCTGCCAGACCGTGGAATATTGTCCCAATGACTCAGCCATTTTAATGCAGCCAGTTTTTCGATATATTTCGAAACCTGCACCGCAGTCCATTTTGGAGCCGTCTGTATATCAGACTTCGTCCCCAAGTGGAAAATCTTTCTTCCAGTCCACTCTGGAAGGTGTAATGACCTTAAATCGGGGTTTAAAATTCACCCTCTTGATCATTCTATCCTGCACCATACTTAGTTCTGGAATTGATTACGTGGAAGTTTGGTGTGTTTACCTCCAAACTTCCACCTTCCACCCTCTAGTAAGAGCCGCCTTTTTCACCGCAGCAATATGCAGGGGTACCTCGGCTAGTATGAATCCCAACGAAGCTGTTGGCGTGGTCCTCATAGCCCCCGTGACACCCCTAAAAACCATTGTTTGTAATTGGTCCAGTTTCTCTCTAACCGTTATCAGTTGAGTCCTAGACCACCAAACCACCACTGCATGAAGAAACCTGTGTTTTAAAATCATCTGATAGAGCCAATTGACCATATTAGGCCTTAGTCCCCACGATGACCCTATCGCCCTTCTACACGCCCAAAAAGCAGTAAAGAACCTTCCATACTGATATTCGAAATGTTCCTTCCAACTCAGCTTTTTATCTAGGATCACTCCCAGGTATTTCGCCGATTCGGAAAAGGAAATCTCTTTACCTCCTTGCCTTTTTTCCAACTTTGAATATTCTAGCTTTGGCGTTTCCGTCGCTCTCATGTCCATCTTCTTTGGGAGTGTTTCCTCCGCTTAAAGTGGCGCTCTCTTTCCTCCTCCCGGTCATTGTGGTTACATTCCGCACCGCTGAGAACGCATGCCAAATCGAAGGCTGGTATTGTAAAGATTATATCTGCTTGGATACCCGGTCACAGTTGATTCATTAGTAAAGATATAGCTGCTATGGACATAAGCAAGTGTAAACATAAATAAATAATTGTATTTCAGGTTGTAGACTTAGACAATAGTCTAGAAAATACAAGACAAGAATTTGCCAAATTACGAGCCCGAGCTGATGAAGAGGATGAAAGATGGCGTGGAAGAGAACAAGAATTATTAATAAGACTCGAAGACAGCAGATGTCGAGAAAGAAAACTTGAGGATCAGAAACACAATTTAGAAGTTTGCCTTGCCGATGCATCTCAACAAATTCAAGAACTTAAGGTTTTTAATTTAATTAAAAATATCTTTCAATATTTAAAAATATTTACCCTGGCACAAAGTAGTCTTTTAATTTGATGTTTTATTATTAATTCCAGGCTCGTCTAGGTGGTTCAGAAGGAAGAGTACGAGCATTAGATGCCCAGTTAGGTCAATTAGAAGTTTTAAAAAAAGAAGTAGAACAAAAATTAAGTAGCGTTGGCACAACTCTACGTCGTATTGCTGGAATTCAATTGGATGGAAGTGTCAATATGCCATTTAAAATTACAAGTCCTTCACGAAGATGGAGTCCAGTTCGCAGTAGGTTCATTCATTAATTATCCTGGATAAGGAATAATAATTAAAAACAATTAATTAATTTTTAGTGCAAGATCATGGAAATGCTGGTCGTGATATTGTACTCGACGTTGATCCAGAAGTTGTAAGAAAGGGAGTCAGATCGTTAATGCAACAAGTCGCCCAAATTGAAAGAGAAAGAGTAAATATGATGATATTTAATACAATAATAAAAAATAATTAATTCTCTTCAATATTTACAATTCTGAACAAAATTCTATTTCGATTTTTAATCTAGGATGACTATTTTACTGAAATAGAGAATATGAAGAAGCAACTAATGGAAGCTGGTGATAACTCAAATAAAACAGATATGAAACTTAATAATTTACTCATCAATATTAGGACTATGCAAGAGGAGAAAAATGTTCTCGAATCAAAACTCTCTCAAAAAGATGCTGTTTGCCAAGCGCAGGTATTACAGAATATTTAAAAATATATTTAGTCGCCTAAAGTGTTTACATTATTTTGCAAAGTGTTTTGACAATTATTTCAGATGGAGGCTTTACATCATAAAACGTCCGAAGTCGAACACTTGAGAGAGAGAGTAACCACTTTGGAGTTAACAGTTAGCAGTGAAACTGAAGAGAAATCGCAATATGAAGTAAATTTTTATCACTATTTGTAAAAAGTATTATTTATTATGAAAAATAGAACTATTTAAAATCTAATATTGTGTTCAGGATAAATTGGAGAAGCTAAAGCAGTTTACGAGTAAATTAGAATTTGAAAAGCGAAGTTTACAAGACGAACTTGGCAAAACTGAGGCTAGGGCAACAAAATTGGAACTGCAACGAATGTCTCTCGAAGGAGATCTTCAACGATTACAGATGATCCTCCAAGAAAAGGAGGCTCATATTCAGGTAAAATTGTACAAATAATATTTTTTTCCTTTAAAGATTCTCAAAGCATAATTTGTATTTTCTTAATAGAAACTTCATGAACGATCAGAAGCACAGACAAGAACAATGACAACTCTAGAAGAACGTTGCGGTTCCTTAAATTCAACAATTGAGCAATTAAATCAAACACTCCAAAGATCATCAAATACGGAAAGTGATCTAAGAAATGAAATTAATTCTCTTCAGAGGAACCTCATGGAAATTACTGTAGCTTCACAAAGCAATAATGATAAACTCAAACAAGTATGTGCGTTACCATTTAATAATAGAATTTTTTTTAATAAAAATAGAAAATAATTCTTTAATATAAATTACAGTCACAAAAGCAGGTATCAAATTTAGAAAACGAACGTCGAATTTTAACTGAAAGATTAGAATCGGCCCAACAAGCAGTCGGTGAACTAAGGCGCAATAACCAAACCCTTGGAGATCAAAATGTAAGATTACAGAACGAAATATCGAATAATGAAGTTGTCCGTTCAGGTCTAGAGGCTCAATTGCGATTATCGAACTGGCCTCATGAAGAGCGAACGAATAAGGAAGAAGAATTAGTACGACAGGTTCAATCGGCACAGAGAGACAGAAGCGAACTTAAAGGAAAAGTTGATGCTTTGCACGATAAGGTATTTAACAATTGTAACGATAGCATTTAAAGTCTAACGCGAGAAATTGAAAAGAAGCTTTGCTCCTCTACTGGATGGAAAGCATTTAGTGTTGAGTTCGCTTTCTGTCAGCGTAAGGTGCACCTCGAGGCAAGTCGGTAGGCGAACTGATTGAAAAGGTTGAGCGCGCGAGTATAAGAGCGCGATGAGAGCGAGTGGTGGGGGAGAGAGTGCGACGCGAGCTTCATGCGCAGTCGTCAGTCTCTCTCTGACTGCAAGTCCGGCCAGTAAATCCTTTGTCAACAAAAACTATGAACATAACAATTAGTAATAATCACTATCAATTTTTTCAGGTAAAGCATTTGGAGTCCGATAAACGAAATTTAGAACGTCAATTAGCATCCATTCGACCTGGAAGTGTTCGAAGTAAGAGTTACGAGCGACCTGAAAAAGCACACGTCGAATTATTGGGTTCTTGTGCAACCATCGAAAATTTAGAGCAAGAAAATCGAGATCTTCGACTACGAATTCGAAGACTAGAAACACAATTGTCCGAAAAGGAAGCGGAACTCCTGCGGGTCAAGTCAATAAACATACATTCGCATTCTTCATTGGATTTATCGCGAACTCGAAGTAGCGAATTAGAGAGACTTAGAGCGGCACAATTGCAAGCTGAAAAATTACTCGAAGCCAGAGAACAAAGTCATCGACAACAAGTTTTGAGACTTGAGAATCAGGTACAATCCATTGGAGAATTATTCCTAAAATTTATCAATAAACTCTGTTTGTTAATCCAGACAAATGCTATAGTACTCCTAATTTTCTAGTCGTTCTGTTTATTCAACCAAAATTTTTTTAGATTCAGTTGCTACGAGATCAACTAAATCAGGAAATAAAACGTCGTCAATTGTACGTTTACCGCAGTACTCAAGCTGGTCGTGAAATGCAACAATTGCGACAAGCTTTAGGTGATTCTCTGAGGACTGTATCACAAGATCCATCATTAGACGCTGTCTTATTAGAACATGAAGCTCGAAAATTGGATTCAACTCTAACTAGCACTGCCAGTTTACCTCCATCATTAGCCCTTCCTCCACCACCATCATACGATTTAAAATCATCATCTCCATCTCGTTTTAAGTAAATCGATATTTCCCATTCTCTTAGAAAGTGAAAAATCTTTTTAGACAGAATAAATCTAAACGTGGTAATAATTTACAGTCAGTCAGCAAATAAATGATCTCATTTTCAGTAAAATTTTCCCATCGCTGATCTCATCGTATACAGTTTTATATATATACTATTAATATTTTCAATTTCCCCTGAAGAAAAATTTAATATTCCAAAGGGTTTTACTGTAATAGATTTTTTGTATTTATTCAAACTTTTTGATGATCGTTTTTTATCAAACAGATTTTGATAAAAATATTTCTGTCAAAGTTTATCAAAGTTGTATTAATGCTTCCAAAAAAAAAATTTTTTTATTCATCCAAAATTTTTTACAAAAAAACTTTCTAATCGCCTAGACTTCAAGATTAGGAAACAATGATTGGCTGAAGTTTCATGACCAATAAAAATAGTCAATTTTCTGCATTTATCAATCAAAAAAAAAAAAAAAAAATGCAGAGACAGTTATTGAATCTGAAAAAACAAATCATTTTTTAAAAAAGTAAGATTATCTTACGTGAAATCCGTCCATGTTTATTGAAAATATCCAACAAAAAAAAACATCTAGTTATTTTAGATTAAATAAAGATCCGTGTTATTGTGCGACAAGAAAAATAAGAAAAATAAATGAGAATTTAAAATGTATACTAAATCGTCGGTAGTAAAAAAAAAAATGCTTTGTTTCGTCTCATCATTGAGACCAAAATGAAACAATCAAACAAGAGCAGTCTACAAAAAAAGAAATGCTTCTACGATTTTTACTGTAATGTCACCAACAATTAAAAGAAAAATTGACACGTGATGTAAATTTTTAGAGAATTGAGAGAACGATAGAAATTTGTAAAAGTAGATTGACAAAGAAAAAAGTGGATTGTGTCTGTTCTTTATCATTGAGAATATAGACATTCAGTCCAACTGTATTATTCGCACTTTATTCATGATGCCGATAGATCCACGGATCTAAAAATTTGTTTTTAATTTTATAAATCAAATCTGTAGAAGTGAGTAAATCAACGATGAGAAAGCGACCACAAAGAAAGAAAGGGGGGGGGGGTTGGTTAGAAAAGAATGATTGGGGGGTCGCTTCTTCTAGTTCAACTATTCACTTCTACAGGACTTAAAATAATATTTAAATAATTTAAAGATTATTGAGAAAAAAAATTATTAACGTTAATTTATTACAAATATTATCCAATTGTAAATTTTAATATTTTGTTTAATTTCTAAAATTTTTTTTTAATAAAAATTTGTTCTTCAAATAAAGTGATGATGTTAGTGACGCTGATAAGAAAACACTCCAATTATTTATTCTAATTCAGTACATTCAACATACAATTATATTTTCAAATTAATTTTAAAATCATCTTTCAATTAAAATTCTATTCTCTTATAATTCACTTCACTTTTATTTGATTGTAATAATATAATTTGAAATTTAATTTAATATTTATTATAATTTCAACTATAAGAGACTTAAAACTAAAGTTTAATTTTTCTTTTCCTGTGTACTGAATTAAATTATTGAAATAAATAAAAGAGAAATCATGTAATGAAAATAATTTGTTAATGCACCGTAATGCAAAAGTCGCAGTTAGTGCAATAGTTGAAGAAAAAAAATTGTCGCCTTAAAAGCGTTTTAAAATTGTGTGGAGAGCGTAATATAGTATAAACAATTGTATTTTTTAACGCAAAAGTTTTTTTTTATTACATAAACACAGAAATTTACATTATTCATCATACAAAAATTTTTTTTTTCGGTTTAATCGATTGTTTATAAGATAATGTTTTTTGTAACAAAAAGAAAACAAATAAACTGGATATGAGCTTCCGCGCATTTTATTGCTTTTTTATTTAATTGTTTATTCATTTTCGTTACTAACAAACTTCGCACTAGATAATTTTAAAGATTTATTTCGACTAATTTTATGCAAATTTTAATTTAAATAATTGAATTCCTAAGAAATTTCTATTATTCATGAAAAAAATTGAATTCTTACGAAGATTTTTACAAAAATTTTTTTTAATAATTGAATTCTGTTTGGAAATTTTATGAAAATAGTACATAGATATTAAAAATCATTGAATTGCAAAAAGTTTTTAAAAATAATTAAATTTTACAAAGAATTTTAATAAATTTTTTGACAATAATTGAATGTCCGCGTAGCGTATTTTATCAAATTTTTTTGAAAATAATTGAATTCTGCAAAGAATTTTATTAAAATGCCTCAAAATAATTAGATTTTCGAGAATTATTTTGTTATTTATCGTCATAATTAAATTCTTGGGAAGAATTTTATTAAAATCTACAAGAATAATTTAATTACTTCAAAAAAATTTAATTAAAATTTTATTTAAAATAATTGTTTTCTTTCGAATAATTTTATTAAAATATTTAAAAATAATTGAATTCTTGTGAAAAATTGTAACATTTTTGTTAATAATTGAATTCTTCTAAAGAATTTAAAAAACACATTTTTTTTAATAATACATTTTTTCGAGAAATTGAAATTAAATTTTTAAGAATAATTACATTTCTCGAGCAACTACTGCAAAATTTTGTTAAAAATAATTGAAATCCTGTGATAAATTTTATTATTTATAAAAATAATTAAATAGTTGCTAAGAATTTCATTAAAATTTTCAAAAATAATTAAATGCCTGAGAAGAATATTATTATTTATGAAAATAATTGAATTTCTTTGAAAAATTTTGTTATTTTTGACAATAATTGAATTCTTCATGAGAATTTTATAAACATTGTTTTCAATAATTAATTTTTTCGAAATATAATTTATATTATGAAACTTTTATTTTAAATAATTGAAGTCTTGTGGAAACTTTTATTTATGAAAATAATTGAATTTTTCTATTAAATTAAAATTCTATTAATTTAAAATAGTATATTAAATGTAATTGAAATTATCTAATCTAATATCTAATTGTAAATTTATTTGAATATTATTTAGTCGAATAGTTACAAGTAATTAATTATTTAATAATAATCCGATAGAATAATATTAATTTTTAACAATTTGACAGCAAATTTACGAAAAAATGTTTTTTTTCCTATATAAAATACATGTTAAAGTTCATGGCCTTACAGACACTATTAAATATTAATTTAAAAAAAAAATAATTTCATTTTATTCTATTTCGGACATAATGAGGAAGTGAAATAACGAAAATTCGAAAAGTCCACTTTTAACGTCCACCGTAATTTGTAGTATACAATAAAATAATAAAGGTGATTGTGAAGTGTAAGTGTTTCTTTATTCACAAATTGATTATTATATATGAAAAATAACTATTATTTTCAATTGATGACTGTAATATAATAAAACTTACTTTTACATTATTATACACTTTAATATAGCTTTAAAGAAAAATGAACTATTGTTGTAGTAAAACGTATGCAGAAAATAAATGTGTACTCAACATCAGAATATATTTAAGATGATTCAACATTTTATATATATATATATATATATATATATATATATAAAAATGTAGATTATTACTCATACATATGATGCCAGAAAAGAAACTCCACATTTGAGCTATAGTTAAAACATTCAGTGAATTGTGAGCCTCAGAAAGTTTTCTACAGTGATCGGTACAAGTCGTTTATTTTTTTAAATTTAACATAGTTTAATTAAATTATTTTCTCAATGTATTTTATTCTTTTTAAATTAAATTAAAATTATTAGATAATTTTTTCATATTATTAAAATTAAAATTAGAAAAACTAAAGAAAACACGTTGGAAATTTTTCAAAACACGTGGATTAAAAATAATTTTTTAATTATAACAATTGTCCAATTGACGCGGTGAGTGGAAACTTCTTCTTTTTTATTGTAATAAATTATATCTGCTTATAAATAATTTATAATATTACGCTTTTGTTTTTTTTCCAACTAAAAAAATATTTGCTTTATTACGAGAGAAAATTTGTGTAATAACAACACAATAATTTTTGTTTTTTGTATAGTAAAAAATTTAATAGTTTTAGATAATTGGTTTTTTACGTGAAGTAATTATAATTGAAAAATATTTATTTACAGGGAAAAAAATAAAATGAATTCTAATTTAGTAATGCCTATTTGCGATGACTATATTCCACCAAATACAGTTTATGTTCCAACAACAACATATAATTCATCATCTTCTATTGACTTCTCTTTCATAAGTACAAGATACGGTTCACTAAAACTATTACAACAGGTATTATTGTTTTTTGTTTTAATTTTTAGATATAATTAATAAATTAAATGAATTATATTTATCATTATTAAGTTATTGATATTATTTAAATTTTTTCAGTTGTTTATCTGTTTTGGAACAATAACATTTATTTGGGGAGTAACAGATTTACCAAATGTAATAACACCGACAATGTTAATTGGTTTCTTTCTTTATTTATTTTTAATATCCACATTATTACCTGTTGTACACGTTTTAATGTGGTTCTATATACTTCATAAAGTCGAAAAATACAGCAAGTATCCATGGTATGCAATTGTAAGTAAAATAATTACATAAATTAATTAAATAACATAATTATTATAATTTAAGGCATTATATTAAAAATTACTTTTTTGGAGCATTTTAATTTTTTATTTCTAATTTATTGAGCAATATTATACAGATTAGTATTATCTTACTACTAAATAGGAAATTTACTTTAAATAGTTAAAGTAGAACACTAAAATTTTTATAATATAGAATAAATATAATTTTTAAATGATTAATTTTGTTTAATATATATTATATTTTTAAGTTTTTAAAATAATGTTTTAATATTTAAATAGTATAACTAGGTACATAATAATTAGAATAATTATAATAAAAAAATTAACGTATGAAAATATTTACATTAGATTAAGTGATTCAAGTGATTACGTTATTCGCAAGGCACAATTTTTTTCTGAATCGGAAATAAATTCTATAAAGTTCTTAGTACGTCTGTGTTTTAGAAGAAGCTCTTCTTCAATAAAAAAAAAGCTCTAATCTGAAGATAAAAATCATAAATTTATTAAAATTCAAGACACAATTTTCCTCTCAATCCATAATAAATTCTAAAAATGTTTTCGAAAAAGCTCCTCTTTAATGAAAAAAGCTCCAAATTGTCGAAAAAAAAGACCAAATCTTGTTGCGACATCATGTATTTGTACCATTTTAATTTAGCTATTTTCTCTTTTTCTTGAAATAATTGTTGTTAAAAAAAGGTATATAATAGAAATTTTGTCGTTGTTATAATTTTCATGGAGTCTTTGTGGTTTACTCTGTGTCTGTATTCGTCAATCTGTAGCAAGTCATTGTAATATTTAAATAAATTATTAGCATGTTTACATCAAATTGTCCATTGTTTGTTCATATGAAAAAAATTATTAACACAACTGAAAGTAAAAAAAAATTATCAAAATGCTTTATTTTAAATACATTTTATCCTCATATGTATGACGATTGTTCATTGATAAATAAATTCTAATAAGAAACTTAATATTTTGGATTTAATATATGAGCTGCTTCTTTATCCAAATCGTTCAACGCTGTTTGTATTTTCATCAAAGATTCCACTAAGTCATTCATTTCTAAAACAATCTCATTATTTTTATTCAATTCATCAGTTTTTTCTTTCTCCATACCAGAATTCTTTTTCACCAATTTTTCTCTATCGCCATTCTTTGATTGTGTTTCAAAATTATTTTTCATTGTCAAAACATTTTCTACTGTATTTCTCAATATTTCATCGAGACTTGATTGCAGTTCATCATTAGATTTCTTTGTAGATTCAGATGTTTGAGATTTTAAGGGAACAATTACCTCGTCAGTTGATGAATAAAATGAAAATGTTAAATCTGGAGGAATTGATGATTCTCTTGCTTCTGATTCTACTGACGAGTTTGATAGATGAGAATTATTATTCGTTTTTACATTAGAAAAGATTATTGGTGTCTTATGTAAGACTTGTACTGTTCTCTTTTCGAACATGATGTGCTTAAATAATCATTATTCAGTGAGAAGGTATTATTAAATTCTCCAGAATCGAGAAAGTGAGCTGCTTCAATTTCCAGATTTGAAAGTCCTGATTCAAGAAGCTTTAATGAATTGGATAATTCTTTTTCAATTTGTGTAATGTCTGTTGAAACTTTTCTCGATGCAATACAACTGTCTGTTAGAAAATCCTGTTCTATAATCTTTGAAAAAGTAGTAACATGATCCATTTTTAACGAAATCTCAGTTTTCTGAAACTAAAAGTTTAACCATGCTTAAATTATATTACATCCCCACCACTTTTGACAGGGTGTACATACACAATTATTATTTTTATAGTTCATTTAAATCATTTTAATTGTTTTTAGCTTCTAAATATAACTCATTTCAGTGAAATTCAGGAATAAAAATGTTAAAAAATCTTTTGGGTTGACTAAAGAAATTAAAAATTTGATTCCACTAATTTTTTTGGGTAATTGTGGAGTTTTAGTGTTTTTCTAAAGTTCTCAATATTATTGAAAGGGGTAAATATGTTTTAAGAGTAATTATTGTACTCTTAATTTACTTTTAGGGAATGGAAATAAAATAATATTGATACCCGAAATTTAAAGAAACTGGGGATAACTCTAGGGATCTTCACCTGTTTTGTCAGGGTGTTCATACACAACTACAACTAATTGGGCATTTAGAACAGTTTTTTTGTTTTCAGTCACTAAATCTAACACATTTAAGTAAAATCATTAAAGCTAATCATTAAATGTACCATAGATAGATGGTTGTTTCTCACCAGAAAAGTGAATTTAAACTTTTGTTTCTTAGATGTACCTATATGCTGAGACTCTTGATTTTCTTGCTCGAAGTCGAAAAATTTTTTTATTCTTTAATAAATTTTGTTACATTTCTTATTTTTACAAGACCCATTGTTTTTATTCGTCATTCTGTATCAGATCATTGTTATATTTATCTGGATTATTACCAAATTTACATTAAACTGTTCATCGTTCGTTGAAGAAGAGTTGTTTCCCTATACCACTCGCGTATATTATTATTACTATTATTAGAATCATTTATTATGATTATTATTATTAATATCATTATAAAAAAGATATAATCATTTTCTAATATTATAATAATTACAATAATTAGTTTCGCAAAATAATCAAATGTTTTATTTTATTTTAGGAGTTAACAATTTCCGGAATAGGATCTGCAGTTTGCTTATTATGTGCTTTCGCTCCTTTGTTCACACTGGTAAACACGTGGTCAATCTTAATAGCTTTCGCATTAGTAAGTTTATAAATTTTAGAAATGTTCTTATAGTTTAATACAAAAGAATATCAAGGAAACATGTTAGTTTCAAATTGTAATTTAATTTCAAATATTGTTGTATACTATATTAATCCATTAAATCCCATGAAGAAACCAACAATTGTATTAATTTAACAATTGGATTCATAGGCAAACTGAAAAAATATATACCTGTTTTTTTGTTTTTAATTTTCAATTGTTTAACAATAATTGTTTAAACAAATTAATAAAAATTTAGCAATTCTTAAAAACTGTTAACACCAATCTATTCTGTGTGCAATATTAAGAAAGTTTTGTATAAGTCATTTGTTTCCAAGTCGTAATTTGTTTATAAAATTGTTATAAACAAATTATGATGGATAAAGGGTGTTTCATCACAAGAATAGACAAATTAATTTTAAGTAAAATTAACAATTATTAACAATTATTGTTAAACAATTGGAAATTAAAAACAAAAAACAGGTATATCTTTTTTTTCAATTTGTCTATGAATTCCAATTGTTAAATTTACTTAAAATCCATTTGTCTATTCTTGGGATAAAACACCCTTTATCCATCATAATTTGTTTATAACAATTTTATAAAAAAAATAACGACTTGGAAATAAGTGATCCATACAAAACTTTTTTTTTCGCATAGAATTGATTAGCTGTAATAGTTTTTAAAAATTGCTAAATTTTTAATAATTTGCTTAAACAATTATTGTTAAGCAATTAGAAATTAATAACAAAAAAAAAGTTTATCTTTTTTTTCAATTTGCCTATGAATAAAATTGTTACTTTTTTAATACAATGCGGCTGGTTTCTTCATATGGGACTTAATGGGTTTAATAATGTTTTTTAAAAATAATTTTTATATTTGTTTAAATATTTTAAAAACAATTACAGATATTCACATTATTTGCCGTTGTCCTCTTCGGTTATAATTTCTATTTGGTTGATCAGAAAAAGAAGATGAAAATACCACTTCAAGCAACAGAATTTTCAATGTTCACTTCAAATCGAGCGTAAATAATAATGAAAAGATTAATTTCGAAGGTAATTGTATAATATTGCGTGTGGAGAAAAGAGTGAGAGATATTTTAGAGTGATATAATGTACTTAAAATATATTTTTTTTTAAAAAATGCAAATTACTGTATTTTCTATATATATACGATTTTTTGAAGAAATGTTTCTTTTTATTACACCATATATATATAGAAATCTGTGTTACACTGTTATAGAAAATAGTAAAAAGTGTTATTTTTCAAGCAAAAAAATTTGAAATAGTTTTGGTATTTTTTATTTAAATATTTATTTTTTATTACTAATTACCTCTGTCGTTAGTTCACATTATTTTAGTAATTTTTAGCAAATAATTTATGTTTATTAATAATTATACTACTGAATATATTTTTTTAGAATTCATTGTTGTTAACTATTATAATAATAACTATAAATTCTTTCCTAATAATGAAAGTTAATAATTTAAGGAAGTACGGAATTTAAGTATAATTGTAAAAATTTATTAATAGAATATAGGTATAATAATGTAAATAATTTAAAATACGTATGATAATATTGTTGTAAATATATATATATATATATATATATATATATATATATATATATATATATATATATATATATATATATATATATATACAATTGTAATAAAAGATACTGTCTATCATATCAGTATGGTTCCCTTTTAGATTTGCAGTCATTCTCCTTTATATCATTTTCATTTAAAAGCGCATAAATATTTGTTTAAACAATTAATTAAAATTTTTTAATAATATTTTCTTAAAACTGAAAACCAAATTGATAAGAACAACGTTTTAAATCATAAATTATTTAAAAGAATTAGAAATATATAATATCAAATATTTATGTATTTGTCAGTTCAAATGTAAATAGGAAGATAATAAAGGTACAGGGATCTTAAGTTTCTTGGCACGGTTTTGTGTACCCAGTTGAAGAATCCCGCGAATGATAAAATTTTCTGTATTCGTCATTCAGTCATACAAGAGAGAAGATAATACAAGTAGAACATTGTGCTTAAACATAAAAAATTGATTTACAAATGTTTTGTTCTTAGAGGTACGGAAATTTTTTAAATTTTCTTTATGCATAAATATTAATCTACTAAATCTAAATTAGGGAATTTAAAAATTTTTCTTCTTACCAAACATGTTTTCTCAAAATTTAACGATTAAATAGTTTTTTAAATAATCAAAATGATAGTGATAAGTAAATTTCTTAATTAGTAAATTGATTATAAAAACATTCTTTGTTGCGAAACAATAGCTTTCATTAATTGACGATTTTTCGTAGGATGTAACAGAACCTTCATTCACATATAGAAGAAATGAAAACAATGGATATTGTAAAAATAAGAAATGTAACAAAATTTATTAAAGAATAAAAAAATTTTTCGACTTCGAGCAAGAAAATCAAGGGTCTCAGCATATAGGTACATCTAAGAAGCAAAAGTTTAAATTCACTTTTCTGGTGAGTAACAACCATCTATCTATGGTACATTTAATAATTAGCTTTAATGATTTCACTTAAATGTGTTAGATTTAGTGACTGAAAACAAAAAAACTGTTCTAAATGCCCAATTAGTTGTAGTTGTGTATGAACACCCTGACAAAACAGGTGAAGATCCCTAGAGTTATCCCCAGTTTCTTTAAATTTTGGGTATCAATATATTATTTTATTTCCATTCCTTAAAAGTAAATTAAGAGTACAATAATTACTCTCAAAACATATTTACCCCTTTCAATAATATTGAGAACTTTAGAAAAACACTAAAACTCCACAATTACCCAAAAAAATTAGTGGAATCAAATTTTTAATTTCTTTAGTCAACCCAAAAGATTTTTTAACATTTTTATTCCTGAATTTCACTTAAATGAGTTATATTTAGAAGCTAAAAACAATTAAAATGATTTAAATGAACTATAAAAATAATAATTGTGTATGTACACCCTGTCAAAAGTGGTGGGGATGTAATATAATTTAAGCATGGTTAAACTTTTAGTTTCAGAAAACTGAGATTTCGTCAAAAATGGATCATGTTACTACTTTTTCAAAGATTATAGAACAGGATTTTCTAACAGACAGTTGTATTGCATCGAGAAAAGTTTCAACAGACATTACACAAATTGAAAAAGAATTATCCAATTCATTAAAGCTACTTGAATCAGGACTGTCAAATCTGGAAATTGAAGCAGCTCACTTTCTCGATTCTGGAGAATTTAATAATACCTTCTCACTGAATAATGATTATTTAAGCACATCATGTTCGAATTTTGATAAACAGAGAACAGTACAAGTCTTACATAAGACACCAATAATCTTTTCTAATGTGAAAACGAATAATAATTCTCATCTATCAAACTCGTCAGTAGAATCAGAAGCAAGAGAATCATCAATTCCTCCAGATTTAACATTTTCATTTTATTCATCAACTGACGAGGTAATTGTTCCCTTAAAATCTCAAACATCTGAATCTACAAAGAAATCTAATGATGAACTGCAATCAAATCTCGATGAAATATTGAGAAATACAGTAGAAAATGTTTTGACAATGAAAAATAATTTTGAAACACAATCAAAGAATGGCGATAGAGAAAAATTGGTGAAAAAGAATTCTGGTATGGAGAAAGAAAAAACTGATGAATTGAATAAAAATAATGAGATTGTTTTAGAAATGAATGACTTAGTGGAATCTTTGATGAAAATACAAACAGCGTTGAACGATTTAGATAAAGAAGCAGCTCATATATTAAATCCAAAATATTAAATCGTTTCTCATTAGAATTTATTTATCAATGAACAATCGTCATACATATGAGGATAAAATGTATTTAAAATAAAGCATTTTGATAATTTTTTTTACTTTCAGTTGTGTTAATAATTTTTTTCATATGAACAAACAATGGACAATTTGATATAAACATGCTAATAATTTATTTAAATATTACAATGACTTGCTACAGATTGACGAATACAGACACAGAGTAAATCACAAAGACTCCATGAAAATTATAACAACGACAAATTTTCTATCATATACCTTTTTTTAACAACAATTATTTCAAGAAAAAGAGAAAATAGCTAAATTAAAATGGGACAAATACGGGGGTGATGTCAACAAATGGCTGTTGATTATTGCGTGTCAATCCAATATCTCACCATTGATCAAGAAATACGTAGGGAAATGTGTCTAGGTTTTTGACCCATAAATTGTAAATGGGTAAACAAAATTGTAAATAAAATATACAGTTCGAAAAGTAACTTAAATACGCAACTTTTTTTTTAAAGAAAGTATAGTGTTTAGATGGACTCAAAAAAAGTTATAATCAATTTTCCGAGCACATCGGTTTTTTCAAAAAAAAGAAAATATTTCCAGTTGTGAGACACATATTAAAAATTGCTAAAATTTAAAAAGTTTGACATAAAACATTATGTTTAGTAGAAATAATTGAATATATTATTATATACTAAATAATAATTTTTATTCGCCAAAATAATGACTATCAAATAAACACAATTTAATAGCTTCAACAATTAGAGCATTAAAATTGATTTCTTCTGAATCGGTTGATTTTCTTCCACTTGGCATGCCCAAAAATACAAGAAAAAAATCAAAACAACATTTAAATAGCAGTATGCCTGCAAAGATCTCTAATATAAAAATTTTATCACCCACTTTTTTCTTAAAATATTTAATAAATTAACATATTTCGTTGTAAGTAAGTGGGTCAATCTATTATATTTCACATGAAAATTATTGTTAATAATGAATTGTACAGATGTTATAAATCAATAATAATAGAAATATAACATAAAATATGTCACAACGAATGCAGGTGAAATAAATTGGATAGTAAGGGGAAAGTGATAGAATAACATGACATTAAGTACCTAAAATCCACATGCTCTTTATTTGAATAACACTTTCGACCTTATCACAAAATTTGATTATTATTATTATTATTATTATTATTAAGTTGTCAAAGATTTATAAGATAAATTTATTAAATTTTTGTCAATTTCTAAAAAGAGGCGTAAAATAATACACTGTTGACGCGTGTCAATTCAATACTCATATCGCTATTATATTTACATTACTTGTCATGGAAGAGCTTTTGTCTTAAAACAACACAAAACAGTACATCGTGGAGTTTCCTTTTGTAACATACTAAAACAAATCGCAGAGTGTGAATTATTTCTTTGAAGGAAATTTATAAATATGTAAAAAAATGGCCAGTTTTCTATCATAAAAGAAAAATTATATTTATTAAAATAATTATTTTTTAAATATATAAAAATATCAAAAATATTATTTAATAATATTTTCTCTCTCTCTCTCTCTCTCTCTCTCTCTCTCTCTCTCTCTCTCCCTTTGTGAATCGAAAAGGTAAGTATAGGTATTTTTATGCTTATCTATACTGGTGAAAATAATACAAAGTATACTTTTTTTTATTATATACATAAAAGAAAAAGGCTAAGAAATTTTACATTATAGATACGTGGATTATTTAATTTTTGTTTATCTAAATTATCGATGTTAAAAAAATAAGATAAAGATTACATATGATGATAATTTAAAATAGAAAACTTTTTTTTTTACAAGAAGATCTGTTCTGAAATTAATAAAATTTCTTTTCTAATTTGTTAATTTCTTAAAAAAAATTTTTTAGTAATAGAAAAATAAATTTTTTAGAAAAGCAGAATGCAGAATTCAGCATCATCATCAACAAGAAATACTCGCGATCTCAATCGTCAAATAATTCGACTCGATTGTTCATATTTTATGACAACACGTGGATTATTAAAACTTTTCGAGCAGGTAAATATAATAAAATTTATTATTGAAATGCGATTTTGAAATAATTTTAGAGATTAAATTCAATAGAAAAAGAAAGTAAAATAAATTTGTAAATTATTTTTTCAATTTAATTTTTAAATTTACTTTCTTATAAAATTAAATTTTTTTTAGATATTCACTGTAGTGGCTGCTGTTTCATTTTTCTTTTCCTGTACTTTTCATTACCATTGTGATCTTTCGTATAAAGGAATAAATTTGAATCTTCCTAAGGAAATTAAATTGGTTATGTCACTTGGCTATGTTTTTTATAGACTGGCACCTTATGCCTTAGGCTGTAGTGTAAATTTTTTAATGTTATTATATTTATTTCATATTGTTGAGAGATATAACACAATACCTTGGTATACGATTGTAAGTAAAAAGAATTTTAAAAAATTTTATTATTATTATTATTATTATTATTATTATTATTTAGTATTGAATTATTTTTTCTTGTCTTTTGACTTATTCAACACTTTTTTAATTAGAAAATTAGAAAATAAAGACATAAACAAAGTGCGAAGAATAAATTTTTTTTTTATTTAAAATTTCTATTTTCCAGGAATATATTGTGTGTGCAATATGCGCCATCTTAAGTATTGTTTGCGCAACATTGGCAATTTTAGTTTGTTCGGATTTGAATAAATTTAATTATCAAGTGGATGATACATTCATTGTAGCAGCTGTAAGTTAATTTTTCAGTAATATTTTTAATTTAAAAATATTTTTGGAAAAAAATTCGAGGGGAATTGAACCCGGGTTCGACGAACAAAAATCAAATCTTGCCCCTTTTCTACTCATAAAATCAATTTCAAGTATAAAGGACAATATTTTTTTTTTCTCTGATTGTTTAGGTTGTTATTTATTTTTCCAGTGCTTTTCATGTGGAGCTACAATTCTATTTATTTGGGACATTATATTGATATACCTGAGACAAAAGAAAAAAATGTCACCTCAAGAATAAAAAAAAAGTCCTATGAGATAAACATTTTAAGTTTGAGGCAAAGTTGCGAACATTGCATTGTAAGCTTAATGCAATATTTCTGCAAGAAATAACTAACTGCGGTTAGTTTCGAGAATATTCGACTGTCACAAATGAATTGACGCCTAACAATGGTCTTAACATCTATGAGACCGGTTTTATTAAAAGACTGCGGACTACCTGCCTGCGAGAATTAGAGAGGACCCTTCAGTAATTTTAGTACAACTCGAAAACTATTTATTGTATTTACTTAAAATTTTTAGGGAATATTTTCAAGACATATTATTAGAGATAGGTTTCAAATTTTTCAATAGTGAATAATAAATTCCTCATTTTCCGTATTATTCGTCATTATACCGAAAATTCATCATAAAATAAATGTTAACAATACTTTCACTTGACTTCTTTCGACTCATTATAATTTATAAATGTCTCTTTGACTACAATCTTGTAGCATTTGAAATTGTTTACAAATAAATAAATTTTTTCAAGTTTGAGATATATTGTTATTAAAAAAAAAAAAAAAAAAAAAAAAAAAAAAAAAAAAAAAAAAAAAATTCTTTACTTTGCTTTATAAATAAACCAAAAATTAAATAATTGTAGAATTTATCACTCGGTAAAAGATAATATAAAATGTCAAAACTATTAATCCTCCAAGTCAAATAAAAATTTTAAAAAAACATAAAAAGTCGATATGAAAAATCGATTAAAGAAATGAAAAGTGCTACCATCCGTTAAGAATTATTAAAACTTTGTGTTCAAAAGTGATTTTAGTAGAATTCACACTTACCGTCCTAAACCAACAAAGTTGACTTAATAATTCCCAAAGTTCTCACTATGTGGCGAAGGACTTAAAATGTTTTCAATGGTTTTCATTTTCAGTACCGTTACGTATATGGCATACAATTGCCAACGCTCTTAATGCAATTTACAACTATTTGAAAGTATATTCAGTAAAACACACCCAATAACATTTATATTGAACTGTGTAAAATTAAATTGTTTATTTTCACATTATAAATATTTTTAAATATTTAAAATTCTCAACCAAATTTAAAAATTATTATATTTACGTACTATATATGTGAAGTGTTATATTTTCTTCTACAAGTACATATTATACTTGTAGGCATCTGTGTAAATAACAAAAGTTTAAAAAAATTTAATTAATTTACAAATTTTTTTTTTTTTATATTAATAGTTTTACTAATAGAAATTAAAGGAAAAAATTGTACGAAAATATATTTTTCTACTTTCCCGAAAGTAATGTAAGTAAAATATGCGATTATTTTTATTTATTATTTTCTATATGTACTCTGATAATTCTATATAAACTTCAAAAGAGAATGAAAAATTTTGAATTTAAATTAAATAACGTTAGAATTTTTTATGGTGAATATAATTCGATGTTATATTATTGTGTAAAATGTAATCGGAAAATCGATGCAACAGGCTTCATCGTATACACACGGACGCCACATGCAGGAAAAAAAATAATACGTTCTGTCTTCTTTTGAACTTAATTTATTTTTTTAAAATATTTTTTTAAAATTATTACTTAACTATTTTAAAAAAACTCATTTTTTTCACGTAAGCGCTTAATTTTCCAAAAAGGCGGGAATAGAAGAAAGTGACGGGGTAAAACTGAATACGAAAAATGATTGACTTTTAGAAAAATTCACTCGAATACCCAAATTTTAATTTTCAATTTTTCTTTCATGAACTGTTAAGATTAAAAAACAAGCTTTAAAAAAAAATTGTCAACAAACACCACGTTATATATAAAATGCGCAAATAATTCGATTTTACCACAACGGGGCAAAGTAGTCTGTTAAAAATTTCAAAAATATTAGACATTTTTGAATTGGAATTTTTTTTTTATATTTTAAAACATTATGTATAGAAAATTATTCACAAGTAATCAACACGCCTACTGTAAATCTAATCTATTATTTATTATCTTCATAATTAGAGGGTTCTGATGCATATTTTAAAGATGCGTGATTCGAGATTTTTTATTTTTATTTATTTTCAAATCAAAGAATTTTTAATTATAACAAAATTGGTTCAAAAAAATAAAGTAAGGAGCGTTTTTATCCATGAGGAAGTTTTAATAGTTATAAATGAAAATTATTTTTGCTTCCTCGTGATTTTTTTTAACTATTATTTTAGAAAAGATTGTTTTATCATATATAAAAAAGGTAAATTAAATATTTTTCTATGCCTTTATTTTTCTTCTATAATTTAGAGAATTTTCGTTATTTTCTGTTTGCATAATATTTATATAAATAGGTACATCCAGCTTCTAAAGTTACTGCTAGTCAGATAAATCGAACACCCCTGGCGGCCAGTGGGAGTCGTCCCACGGTTCTCTTGTGCGTTATGATTACTAAATCTGAGTCACATAATAAGAATCAAGAACACATACTATGTTTAATATTTTTTTCTGTAAATTTTATGTATTCATTTTTTTTTTTTTTTTTTTTTTTTTTAATTCTATATAAAATTCAATAAAAAAAATAATGTAATCTTTTTTCATGTTAAGAATTTAAAAATGAAAAATAATTTACTTAGTAAAATATAGAGATTAAATTAAAATGTATTGCTTAAATTTAGTTTAATTTAATTTTTTTTAATTTCTATTAAAATTTCTCCATTTTTCAGTATTTGGTAAAAAAAAATGGAGCAAGTATTTCCAGGACAACATACAACAACAACGACAGTGACAACAACGTCATCACCAACGAGTATTAGATTTGATAAATCGTACCTTAGAACATTACCAGGAATGTTGAAAGCCGCTCAGGCGGTGAGTATATATATGAGAAAAAAAATAAAATATTCTGAAAAATAAATATTTTTAAATACTTTTTTTTCAATTTTTAATATTTTTTCTTCTAGAACTTTTATTTTTAAAAATGGTAATAATTTCATTAAAATATAACTAGCAACAATTCGCGCGCTTACGCGCGTGGCTGTCTATTGTCACTCACTTTTTAAAAAAATAAAATTATCAATCTTAAAAATAATAGAAAGTAAAAATTTTTTATTCTTTTTTTTTTTTTAAATAAAATATGAATTGGATTATATAGTTTTAATATTATTATAATTATAATAATCATATATTCTGACATATGGGGAATTTAGGAAAAAGTAAGGAATTTTTATCAAAAAGTACTGAAAAAATTAAATTTTTAGAATTCATATAAGAAAATTCAATTATTTTTATAAATAATAAAAATTTTACAGGAATTCAAATATTTACAAATTTTTTATACAAGTTTCATCTCATAATAATTCAATTACTTTCAGGATGTAATAAAACTCATCGCAGAATTTTAATTATTTTTAATACAATTTTAATCGAATTCTTTGAAAAATGAAACTATTCTAAAAATTTTTATTAAAATTCGTCACAAAAGAATTCTTTATAAGAATTAAATTTTTACAAACATTTAATTATTCAATAAATAATTTACTTTTGCATTTAAATAATTGAATTTTGATATTCGTAAATAAAGTTAAGAGAACATTTTTTTCAATAAAATTTTTTTCTTTAATTTTAATTAGTTTTTAATTTTAATTTTAATTTTCAATTTAGATTTTGGATTTATTGGGATTCATTTGCATTTCGGTGGCAGCCGGAAGTTACAGTAGTCGAGGAAATTATTTTAATACAGTGGCCATGATTGGATTTTGGATTACTTGCACCTTACTGGCCCTTTATGTATTTCATGTGGTGGAAAAATTCAATAGAATTCCCTGGTTAAAAATTGTTAGTATTGTCTTTATTTATTTATTTATTTTTTTTTTTTAGTTTTCGAAATTTTTGATAGAAAATAAATTTAATTTTATTGCAGGAAATGTACTTTTGCGGTGCATTGAGTATTTTTTACTTTGCTGCTGCATGCGTTGCTGCTACTAGCGTTAGTATTGATCCAGGCTATGGAGCTGGTGCGGTAAGAGAAATTTTCATTTTTAATTTAAAATCGACGTTAAATATATTTAATATTTATTATTTTTTTTTTACCTCTTGGAAATTTTTTTCCAGTTTTTCGGCTTCTGCGCAACTGCTGCGTATGTTTACGACGCGTGGATTAAATTCAATGGAGTGAGAAGTGGAGCTTGTGCTCAGGGACAACATCCATCTTCGAAGCCTATTTCAACAGTAACAAGTCCAGCTTACTAATTGTAAAATTTTTCTCCTAAAGAAAATTCTACTTTAAAAGGCACAGAATTTACAGTTTAAGAATTTTTTTTTTTTTTTTTTTTTTCAAAAATAATATAATGCACTTGATAAATTACTTAATTAATAACTTAAGTGTCATGTTTGCGACACATTAAACGCTACGCATAAATTTTTATTTTTATTTTGATTTTCTACCTCTACGTAAGAATTATAACATTCGAATCTCGATCGATAAGACTGTATTAATGGTTTCTCACCAATCGAGCGCGTCAGACGAAGTATTAAATATTGAGCCGGTTGCTCAGTTTAACAAAGTTTCACCAATCAAGATTCAAGTGTAAATATACTATATTCTAATCACATTTAAAAAAAAAATATTTCTGCTGTAAAATAATTTCAATTTTTAATCTATTTATAGATTTTCTTATTCATGTTAGATTTGAACAAGAAAGAATCGGACGACACAATATGGCCTTGTACCAAAAATGCAGTACTAACAGAAAACTTATTTACTTTCACTGCCATCCGATTCTTCAGTGAAAACGAAAAATATAATATTCAATAAAATAAATTATTTTTCAATCATAACAAGTCATACGAAATCTATTAATTTTTTTTTAATAATTTTGTTGTAAATTTTGAATTTCTAAATATTGAAAATCATTAAGAAAAAAGACTGACAACTATATATCGATAATGATGTTCTAGTCTTGATGAAAGAAAAACGAAAAGAAAAAATTACGAAACAAATGAAAGGACCAATAAAAATATTTATTATTTTTCTACAATACCGCATGTATGTATGTTTTTTTTTTTTTTTTTGAAAAAAGAAATTAAAAACAACTGTTTGAAAACCAATGAAAATAAAAGTTTAATATTATCCCCTCACAGCACCGGGATATTCAGGATATCCCAGAGACGTCCTGGGGATATCGATTTGTTTTCGGAAGTTTGGATATCCCTGGATTATCCTCTGGATATCCATGGACGTCCCTAGGATATCCCAGAGATATCCAAACTTCCGAAAACAAATCGATATCCCCAGGACGTCTCTGGGATATCCTGAATATCCCGGTGCTGTGAGGGTCGTCTCAATTATCGCTACATAAAAGGTGAAAAAGAAAAAAACACAAAATTAAGTTTTTTCTTTGTCAGACACTTTATGATTAACAAAATTTTGTAAATATTAGTTATTAAGAATTTTTTTTTTTTAGTTGGTTTTTGCAAAATATTCGAACAATTTAATTCTTTTTACAAATCGAGAAAAAATAAAAAACCATAAAAGAATCTCCAAATTCAAAAATTGAAAAATTAGGTCGATGAATATTGTAAAATTAGGATAGAACAGGATTTCTTTAGTTACTAATTAACAATAATAAATTATTTAAACAATTAAACAGTGCAGCATAACATTAGGATAGGATCCGTTCTAGCGAAAGTTCAATATTCAAAGTCTGAAAAAGCCATATCGCAAATCAACGAAAAATGAAAGATTTCTTCAGCTTATAATGACTACATGTTACAGATTACATTTGCAAAACTCAATCTTATAGTTCAACTAATCTGTCATTTAAGATAATATACTAATTTAAATATTTTATTCAATATATAACTAGTTAGAAATATTTTTGAAAATCTTTAAATTCTACGTACATAAATTACAATAACCTATTTTTTCAATGTATTTTAAGAAATTTATTTTTCTAATTAGTTTTAAATGTTGTGACTCAAATATTATTGTTTCCAAGGACCAAGAGATACAAATCAAAGAAGAGAAAGAAAATAATATATCTAAATAGTAATTTAAAAAAAAAACTATTAACTAAATTCATTTGGATTTCTGTTTCTTTTGAAAAATAATATCTCACATCTCAAATATTAGTCTTTAACAGTTTTCTGTTAAAATAATAAATAAAATATTGAATGTTAATAAGGTTGGAATATTTTCTAGATACAAAAAAATGAAAATAATTTGCGAATTTAGCAAGAAGTTTTCTTTCATAAAATTAATGTTATGGATGTAATATGCTTGTTTGTAAACTTGTAAAATATAACAAATATATATTCACGAATTATATTTACTTTACTTTTTAAAAATCTTAATTAACATTTATAATCCAAAGAAAATAATATATCCTTAAAATATGATGAGAAGTCTTTTTAAATGAAAAAACAACATTTAAGATAAAAACTTTTGCCTTTATTTAAATTCATATTAATACACAATCAATTTTATTCCTTTAATGAGAACGAACAGATTAATTTATTCAAAATATATGTACATACCCTTTAAATGAAATTAATACAATTATTTATAATTTACAATTTTACTTCAGATTAGAGGAAGTTTTGTAATTCTTTAAATTAATTTTTAATGTTATAAAGTAACAGATTCCTTTGGAAACAAAAATATACTTTAACAAATTTCTCCTTAACTTTTTATAATATGAGAAACTATTTTTCATAAATGAAAAACCTAATGTAGTACAAAACGAATAAAAAATAATTTAAAAACTTCCTACAAGGGAAAGTAAATTTTATTTCTCATTATAAGGAAAATGTCAAATCATAATCGATCAAAAAGATTAATTCTATAAACTTTTTTTCTGAAAGTATCAATTAAAATTAACATTTTAGAAATTTCTTCTTCAACAATATTAGAAAAATGGATCATAAGCTGTTTAAAAAACTTTTCTGAATAATCAGTTAATCCTACCTCTGGGAAAATCGACAAAAATTGCACAACTTTTATTCTTCTGAACCATTCACTAGCAATAATCTTTTCATTTAATGTATTTTTAATTTTCTTAAGAGTTTCTATACTTTCGTAAATATTATAGTCATTTATTAGTGAATTAGTTAGTAAAGCTTTAATGTTGTACAAAGAGTTTTTATTGCCAATTACTGTATTTCTATGTTGAAAATCGGTCAAATTATTGAATGAAAATATATATTTTTCGAATATATCAGACAATGATTTTTTTAATTTATAAAAGTCTTTCAATGACGTTAATTTGCTTTTGGTTTGCTGTAGACAAAACAATGAATTATCTGAGATACTTGGAGAAATATTTTGAAGAACGTCTTTCTGTAAGCTACTGGCACTATTAATTGCATCAAAAATATGAAAATCTATTTCAGAAGCAGTGAAATTAATACTCTTTGCTGTTTTGAACAATCCAATACGATTACTATGTTCAATTAAATAATTTGTGAATCGTATTGTAGTATTAAAATATGTTTCATCTAATTTACGAACTCTTTCTTTTAAAGTGTATTCAATCAATTCAATATCAACTGGATAACCATTAACTTCAAGCGGGACTTTTGAGAATATTACTGATATGCTTGGAAAAAAGTCTGTAAGCTTATTACCAAAAAATTTTTCCATATCAAGTAAAAGTCTTGAAAATGGTTTAATACTGTCATGTAGAATGTCGCCAAAATTAATAACTAAAACAAATTTTAAAGATTCGACATTCTTTACCAGATGATAGAGATAAATGGAATTAGCGATGTCTTGCGATGCTCCTCTATTATCTTGAAATCCAGGTGAATCAAAAATGCTTAAACCAGACAATTTGTTTGTTCGCCATTTTGTGGGAATTTTAGTTTTTGATGTTGGTCCGGCACCAATTTCAGGTCCTTTGGAATTGTTTCTTTTAATAATTTTAAATTCACCATATGGCGAATATTTCACACCCTCTAATGGATTGCCTATTATGTAATTAATTAAAGTACTTTTTCCTGCTCTTGCCGTTCCCAGGCAAATTACTGCATTTTCATTCAAAGCTTCCTTTTTCATATCTTTCTCTGCAACATTAAATGTTTCTTCTAATTCTTGCAGTTGAATATCAGTTAATGCACAATTTTCACTACGTATTAGTGAAATTAGTAAAAAGATTATGGCATTTCTTAGCATGATGGATTTTTTTGATAATATTTTTTCAAAGAGAATGCAACAAATGTGTTTTGAATTAATTCCTGATGATATCCTTTGTTCTAAAAGTGTAAAAAAAAAAATTAATAAATAATAGAAATACTGTATAACTGTTGTTTTAAAATTATTAGTCTCATCACACATGATGTTCTGGTTTATATTTTGTGAACTATGATATAAATGAAGGGATTCATCACAACAAAGAATTTGCCAATATGAATATGAAAATTCAAAATCGACTGCATTTGCTTGAAACCAGACACTCGGAGTTTCAAGCGAATTCAGTAGATTTTGAATTTTCATGTTCGCCATATTGGATCCGCCATTTTGAATTTATTAAAACTAATCGCAGATTCGTATTCAACGAGCCCAAAAGCCCCGAGTACCTAGTTTCAAGTAAATTCAGTCAATTTTTAATTTTCATATCCGCCATATTGGATCCGCCATTTTGAATTTATTAAAACTAATCGCAGATTCGTATTCAACGAGCCCAAAAGCCCCGAGTACCTAGTTTCAAGTAAATTGAATAAGAAGAAAAGTGTGTGACTGAAAGGGTTAATAGTATCGTTTAATAGATATAAATGAATATTTAATAGGATGAGATGAAAGAATATAATTGAATTATCATTAAAGTAATAAATACTTACTTTCTTGATGTTTAATTTATTTGCGTTATAAAAAAAAACTGGTGCAATCAGATAAATTTACACATTTAGCATATATTTAAAATTTTATGCAACGTGGCAAAAGATGTACGTGGCTTCTTCAAATATTTAGAAATTATGCAATTTTCTTCATTTTGTGTATCTATTGTTTAATATTTAAAATATCACTAAATTTAATGTTTAGACAACCAATTGTCATGTTACAGGTGTATCGAATGAAAACACAGGAATTTCTTGTGATAGTGAAATAACAAAATTTTTATTGTTACAGAATCGATACATTAATTCTATACTTAATAATTACAATGAAATCAAATCAATATTAAATATTATAATATATTATCATAAAAATAAGAAAATATATTAGGCTTTCATTTTCGATTGAAGGACTACTTTCCTATTTATCCCATACTAGGTTTATTGCTATCATCAAACAAATCTTTAAGCCAATACAAAATTATATGCCATGTATTATTATCTTTTTCTAATTTTTTCGAATATTCCATGATCTTCTTCTTCTCTTGAATTAATGATTGGAAATTTGAAATTTCAGAAATAGATGCTTTAATCTTTTCTCGCATAGACATTATAATCATTTTCATAATCAAATTGAATTCTTCATTTTCATTTAATGTTAATAAATTAGAAGCGAATATATTAAATTCAATTTTTTTTATTGTATCACTTTCCTCAATTTTTTCCATCAGATTAACTTCAACGGTTTGTAAAAGTTCCAAATTTTTAAATATATCATTTTCATCTATTCTAGAACTATTTAGTAGAACATAAATATTAGTTAAGTTCTTTATCATAGTTTCTGTTGTATTCTTATCGCCATTCTTGGTTAAATTGATAAAGATAGTAATTTTTTCCACCAATTTAATCTGCAATGAGGTCCATAATTCATAAAGTTTCTGAAATGATGTATGTCCATTTATGTATTGTAAAAAGCAATATTTCGTTGTATCAGAAATACTTTGACCCACATTCTGAACAGAATTTCCCTGTACGTTTTCAGAGTTTATAATAGATTGAAAAATATTTAAACCAAACTCGTAACCAATATTACTGGTTGTATTTGCTAATCTAAAAATTGCAATACGATCTCTACACCGTAATAAAAAATCAACAAATTTTTTTAAAACATTTGACAATATTTCCCTAATTATTACAACTTTTGCATTCAACATTCTTTGGATCACTGTGATATTAACTTCGTTATTATACAGTTTGAAGGGTACTTTGGAAAAAATTACTGTTATACGTGAAAAAAAATGTTTAAACTTATCACCAAAAAACTGTTCAAGAATATTTAAATCTCTTAAAAGTGGTGTATTACTGTCATGATGAATGTCACCAAAATTGATGATTAAAATAAATTTTGGTAAATTAACATTTTTCATTAAATTATAGAAATACATGGAATTAGTGATTTCCTGTATTATTCCTCTGTTGTCTTCAAATCCGGGAGTATCCCAGATAGTTAAATTGGGCAATTTAATTGATGTCCATTTTGTGGGAATTTTAGTTTTTGATGTTGGTCCAATACCAATTTCCGGTCCACTGGATTCATTGTCTGCTTTGATTATTTTAAATTCACCAAATCGCGAAAATCGTACACTCCTTAATTTATTGCCTATTAAATAATTAATAAATGTACTTTTACCAGCTCTTGAAGTGCCTATGCAAATTAATGATTCTCCATGTATAGCACTCTTTTTCATATAATCCGTCGCTGTATTAAAAGAATTTTCCAATGTTGAAATGTCACTACCATTTAGTAGACATTTTTCACTTTTCATCAATGGAATTAGTAAGAGGATGATTGCAATTCTGATCATGATTACTCAATGATTTATAGACTCTTGAAAAGAATGACGTATTAATGTTTGAGGAACCTAATCCAAACCTAAAAATTACGAATAATTGTGATATAAATAAAATACTCTAAATGCACTAATTGAAATTATATTGATATATGGAATTTTTTAAATAGTAAGTAATTAAGTGATAATTACAGCTTTGGTATCCAATAAACAGAAATAAGAGTCAAAATATTTGCTTGAGACTTTATTCAGCAAATTTAATTTTTAAACTATCACTACGTTTTAAATTTACTTAAACAGTAAAAAACAGGTGCACTAAATTTAGATAAAATGAAAAATATATATATTTTTATTACATTTTCAGTTTTGATAACAAAAATACAAAAATTTATTTTACGTATCTGTTGGAATTTTAATGAATAAAAATTTACTGAAAATATTTTTTTCAAATTATTCAAAATAAGAAAATAATTATATTTGTCGTGTTCCGAAAATTTGTCCAACAAACTTGCTGAATATTTACATTGCAAACTTGTAATAAGAATTGTAACTATATCCCTGGTAAAAATTTCGGACTAATTCCGAATATATATTTTAAGAAATTCTTTGGATTTTTTTTTAGACATTTTCAAGCAGAGATATCGTGTCAACCAATATTTTTCTGAAGTATTACATATACAATAGTTTTACAACTGTAGAAGAACAAAAAAGCGTCATATAAATTATTTAAATATTTCCTACATAAAAATAGTTATTAACATAATTTTTATATTTGGATAAATTTTATTCTAATATTTATATTCATGAATTTTTTTAATAGTATCATATATTATATACAAGAGTTAATAATTATATTTATGAATACTCTTTTAATCAATTATCGGAAGACTAATAAATGAAAATTTTTTTAATTAGTTGTGCAACGTTTCGGTGTCTATAGGTTTGACATCATCATAAGGCCACTTTATTAAACAATGAAATATTTTTTAACAATTATTAATTTTCAAATAAAATTAAATTAAAATTATTAAAAAATCAAAATAACAACAAAATTTTCCTTTAACTTTAACAAAATCAGATAGAAAAATTTTGATAATTCAAAGAAAAATATATATACTTTGCAGTCTTAATTGTAATATCTCTATACAATCATATTCATAAGCAAAACGGAAAGGAGTTGGGAATTTATTTTAAAGAAAGTACATCAGAATACAGATAAGAACATTTATTTATTCATTTCCTTTTTTTCATACAGTTCAAATTTGTGAAAAAATTTTCAGAATGTATGTATTTTGTGTTGTCCTATAATAATGCTAGAAAACTAAAAGAAAATTAAAATAAATTTTATTTATTGATCTACTCATTTAAGACAGGAATCTTAAGTCTTAACTTATGACAATATCAATATTTCGAGTGAAAAGATCTAATTTTTGGAGTAGCTATCTGTTAACTATTGACGAATAAATGGATTTGAGAACAGAAAATACAAGCGTACCAAACAATTCAAACGTCAATATAAATTTGAGTTTTGATTTACTTTGAGTTTTAACTGACTTCATAGAGTCATTAATATTTAGATCGTTAATTAACATTGACGTATGTATAATCTCACCTTCAATTGTTGTTTGTAAAGATTTTATAAGATCTGTAATAGAGTCATTAAAGATTTTAAATATATTTGAATTTAATAACTGAGAAATAAATTTTATTATTTTAATTTGACACAACAATTGTCTTTCCTTAATTATTTCCCTCATTCTGATATCAATTATTTCGATGGTTTCAATATTTTTATATATGTTTTCATTTATCATTCTTTTATTTATCAAAGTTTTAATATCAGTTAAGTTTTTTCGAATGGCATGTAATGCAGTCATATTTTTATTCTTAACCAATTCGCCACAGTTACTTGTTTTATTATAGATTATATTCAATAAATAATTATTTAATTTCAAAATGTTTAAACGTTTTATGAACCGATCTTCGATAGACTGCAGGCAAAGCAATGATTGATCTGAAACACTGGAACCTATATTTTGAAAATTTTTTCTCGGTATGCCTTTGGACTTTTTAATAGCCGAAAAAATGTTCAACTCAATATCGGATGTAATAATCCCAGCTTTATTTGAGGACCTGAATAGTCCAATACGATCGTTATTTGTTACTATGTTTCTTAAAAACTTTATGAAAATTGGGCTGTAATTTAATTTAGTTATAGAAGACAATTTATCATTCAATGTGTAGTTTATGTATTCAATATTGACTGGAACATCATTAATCATGTAAGGTACTTTTGATAAAATAAATGTTATGCTTGGAAAAAAGTCTTCAAATGTGTCATCAAAAAATTTTAGAAGATTATTTAATAGATTTGAAAGTGAAGTTAAACTAGACTTATTAATGTCGTGAAAGTCAGTAACTAAAACAAATCTTATGGATTTGATATTTTTCATTAATTGATACATATAAAAGGAATTAGTGGTTTCCTGTATTGTACCTCTAGTGTCATCAAATCCAGGTGAATCCCATATCTTTAAACCAGGCAATAATGATGAATTCCATTCTGTGGGTATTGTAGTCTTTGAATTTGGTCCAGCACCAATTTCTGGGCCTCTAGTTATATTGTCTGCTTTAATGATTTTATAATCACCGTAATTCGATTTGGATATACTTAATAATGGATTGCCCATTAAGTAATTAATTAATGTACTTTTTCCAGCTCTGGTGGTACCCACGCAAATTATCGCATCCTCATTTAATGATTTCTTTTCCATATCATACACTGCTGATATTAAAGATTCTTCTAATTTTACTACATCAGCGTTAGTAAGAACACAAGTTTCACTATAATTGATCAGTGAAATTAACGCAAAGATAATTACAATTTTCAACATGATTGTCCAATCATTACACATTTTTAATAGAATAGTCTACTTTTCTAGTTGGAGTATCTTCCTGAGAATATTCTATAATCTAAAAACATAAATTTAATAAAAATTTAAAAGATTTTGTACCTAAAAGCAAAAATATATAATACTTTAACTTTTTTAAAAATAAATTTTAGATTCTTTTGTTTTGAAAATATTAAAATTCGGATAGTTCCATTTGTAACTGTCCGGGGTGACAGCAATAAACATCATAGTATATCATAAAACATCAGTGTAATATTATTAATATATCCTAGAGAGCGTTGACTATTTACATTATCATTTAAAATAATATTGTGAAGGGGACCGACAGATTAGCTCGGTTGGATAAATGCCTCGCTCGGCGGACGTTGTAGGACCAAGGGTAATTGGTTCGCGCCCGTTAGACTGAAATTTTTCCGGCACGTGAGATAATCTGAGCGGAATGTTTAACGTCGAGGTATAATGATGTCCACTGTCGATTATTATTGTCCGGTACACACCATTAAAATTTTGACTGTCAATAAACCGGTTGTACTCGGAGAGATTTTCTACAGTTTCCCTCTCTATTGGCGAGAAAACCCATTAGACGGGTGGTCCAGGCAAATGCAAGTACTCCTAATTTTCAAGTCGTTCTGTAGGCGCAAACATTTATTTAGGGAAAGTTTAAAACGTAGGACATTTAGAGGTACAGAGAAGTCTGGGGAATTTCTTAAGATATTCATAAGATGCCCAGAAAAATAACTTAAAGGCATCCGTAGGAAATCATAAGTAATCTTTCACTTATTCATACGATATATTTTAAGCAAAAAAATAAAGTAATTCTAAAAATTAAAATACTGTCATAAATTGAATAATTTAATGAAATATCTCTAGGATATCTAAAATATATTCAGAATATTAGTAAACAAAAAAAATTTGAAATTTTTTTATATTGACCCTGAGTTAATATAATCAATTTATCAACTATCTGCCTTAAATGAAGTTCTTGAGGAGATAGGTACATATTCGAATTTTAATTAATCCCAGATATATCTTTAGGATGTTCAATTTTTTTCGAGGTCCTAGAGATACTCTTAGGACATTCTAGAGATAATCTTAGTATATCTTTAGGATTTTCTGGAGATGTCCTCAATATATTTTGAGACAATACACATTTAAGACAATATATACAGATATCCTGAAAATATCTAAAAAATATCATACAAAACTAATATTAGTAAAACTAATATTAGTTGCAACCTGATATTATATACAAATTTTCCATCAAACAATATGGTAGAAGCGTTTACTCATTTCAAATAGATATACAAATCGAAAGGACGGCATATAAGCACTTACCTGTGTATTCCTATTTTAAATATTTTTCTCGAAAATATCACGAAGGTTGCCAAACAAATACACAAGTTACAGTCGGAAAGAATGAATATAGAGCTTTAAAATATGGTTATTGGGTAAAAATGACTTGTGTAGATTACAAAGTAATTTGCTAAAATTTATTCCATTGTGTAACGTGGCAGAAAACTATCTTCCATTTTAAAATATTGCACTATTTTCTAATCTTTTCTTTTACTAGTATATCATATTGTGCATTTAAGTTATTACATAATTTGTTAATGCTGCTAAACAATAAAAAAAAACTGGTGCACCGAGTATAGATATAGTGAAAAACGTTATTTTTAATAAAAACAAATGTTTTATAGGAACAATCAAAGCTTCTTTTAATGCATAGATAAAGTATTTTCATGGAAAATTCCTACGTCCAAAGGATCTTAGGATTAACACATATTTTGTTTAAAAACCAACCAAGAATGACGCAACGAAAGACGATGAAAAATAGTCCATTAAACCATTTGAAAGTCTTATTAATTTTTATGTATTATGTTCTGACATTATATGTTAAAATAAATTTTGTAATATGAAATGCCAAATCTGATTTTTATTTTCTTTAAAACCCCTGAAATAAATGGAGTCTAAAAATAATTTAATTATTAAACTAAACGAAGCTCAAGCACTTTTAAATGTAGAATAACGATTCCGCAAAATTAAATGAGGTTCTTCAGACCTTGGCAACTTGGTGTCTTCCCAAATTAAAAAATGAGGACCATCTTAAAAATTCCAATCAATTTATTTAAATAATTATTATTGTCTTGTTTGTAACAAGCTGATGGTTAAATTAATTTTTCTGGTTTGTGACAGCGCCGAGTGAATATAAAAATTAAAAAGGTTTTATAAATTTAATAAGTTATTTTCATGATTTTCGTGTTAAAGCAACTTGGAATTTTTTGGTACCAGTTATAAAGAAAGTTATTGTTTATCGATGTTATTGCTATCGATGGAACAGTTAAACTTTTAGTTCGAAAAGCGAGTCTTCAAAGAGAATTATTTATAATAGTTCTAATACATAATCTTTTCATGCATAATGTAATTTTTAAAAATGTTAATGTCAACAAATACTAAATAAATATTAATCATTAATAAATTTTCTCATTTCATATAATAATTTAAATCTATTTATATAAATTAATTAAACGAACATTCGAATTAAGTATAATGCAAGAATAAACACTTGCAAATAAACTTCAATTCGATTAGAAACTTTATCAATATAGCCTCAAATTAAAATTTTATTTTGCTTTATCTAGTCAGATAGAAAATATGTTTATGTCTTAATTCCCGTGATAATTGTGTAAAAATGCAGAAAATGTTGTGTTTGAGAAATAGGATTAAAGAAAATTTTAAAAATTATTTTATTTATATTGAGAACACTTTTAGTTTATTAAATTATAAGAAGAACAGGCTACATACATCTAAATAATGTTTACAAATATTAAATGTTACGAAAGTTCACAATTATTAAATTTATTAGTAGAAAATTGTTTCTCGTCAGGGACAAGAAAGTATCACGCTTAAAACTTTATAAATGTTAAGAAAAATTACAAATAAATGGAAAAATGTATTTAACACTTTTTAATTTCACGTTGCCTGCAATTAAGGGATACTTTCATTTAATATTTATAATTTATAACTTATATTCTTATGTTCAAGAACTATTAGATTCACGCATATACCATGCTATAGATTATTATTAATTATCTTAAATAATTCAATATTTATCGTATTATCAGAAGAGTTCTGTCAAAATTCATATCATTGTAACTTACATTCATTAGTCTCTATAAAACAAATGTCATAAAATATGAGATAAATGTGTTTAACAGTAAAGGAATTATAATTAATTTACAAGAAAAAGTAATATTTAATTGTAAAAATAATATTAATAGAATTATTTTCTCCATAGTTACACAAATTTAGTTGTCAGGTTAGCAAGTTTAATTTCTTATTGTCAACATTAATCTTTTGGTAAATCCATAATCCTTTATAATTCATTTCATTCTTTAAATTAATGACAGTTAATTTAAAACTTAAGAGCAATTATTATAATAATTTTTAATAGATGTTAAAAACATTTGACCATTTTTTTTTATTATTGGAATAAATGTTTAAAAAAACTATCAAATAATTAACACAATCATTATTCTGAAATTACTAATTAACTGTTGCGGACTTTCAGGCCGGCGAAGAAGACTTTTCTTTTCTTCCTTGTCAGGGTCCTGTAAATAGAGTTTTTTTTTATCAGTCAGCAATATTAATATGTTTGTAAAAAAACAATTATTTGAAAAAATACTTGCATTTGTGTATGATGTTGAATGTCTGGAGAGTAGATTGCCTCTTGTTGAATTAATAGCTAATCAATTAGAAAAAAGCATATAATAAGAAATGCTACTAAAGAAAAAACTGGAACAAGAAGATTGGGTTTGAAAACTTCCTTTGTTATTGCTTCTGGTTGAGATTCAGTAGTGTTTTTGAATTTCGAAATGTTTTTCAAAGCCTCAAATTTATTTCTGAAATCCTCCAATTCCGTTTGTTTATCTGCTGTATTTTGTTTCAAATATTGTAATCGAATATTACTTAGTACTGAATCTACCTGCGCTATTAAAGCAGATGATTTAAGATTAACAAGGATTTCTGTATCTTTTTTTTTTGTTACATTCAATAAGTTATCAAGAAAATCTATTAGTTCAACTTTCTTTACCAAATCATAATTCTCAATTCTTGTCTTTATTTTATCATTGATTGATGTGTAAAAATTAAATTGTTCAATTAAATTATTGTTAACTTCTTTAGCTTTTTTGAGTACGCTTTTAATTTCCTTTAATTTATTTTCAATAACATTTAGTTGCTTTGAATCTTTTACTTGCGTGTCATAATCGTTAATTATTTTTATAATCTCATTAGTCACACTTTCTAAATGATCATATAATGGATTTAATAGAATAATATCAAGGGTTTCTGATAGGCAATTTCTTGAAGATTCCGACATACTTGGTTTTACATCCTGAAGTAATTGCTTATTTAAGATTTTGGAAGCGTTAATACTTTCAATAATATTATAACCAATTTCTTTAGAATTAATTAAACCTACTTTTCTTGCTGATTTAAAAAATGCAATACTTTCTTTATGTTGTACTACATATTTTAAAAAGTTTTTTGCATTTTCAGACATGCTCAATTCAGAATCTATATAATTATACTGCAATTTAGATTTTATAAGTTCCATACTTTCTTTATTACTTTTATCGTAAGGTACTTTCGAAAAAACCATACTTGTGCTTGAGAAAATGTGTTTAAAATTATTTCCAAATAGGTTTTCAAGAGAATTTAAAAGTGATGTCATCTGTGAAGAAGTATCTGTTAGAAGGATATTATAGTCAACAACTACTACAATTTTTAGATTTTTAACAGTTTTCAACAACTGATAAATATAAAAGGAATTACTGATGTCTTGTGATTCTCCCCTATTGTCGTGAAATCCAGGAGAATCCCAGACTACAGTATTTCTAAATTTTGGCATACTATATTTTGTAGGCTCTTTAGTTTTTGACGTTGGTCCCTGACCAATTTCCGGCCCTGGAGAATTGTCTGCTTTTGATATTTTTAAAGACTCATACTTTGAAATAGATTCTCCCTTTAATGGATTGCCTATTAAGTAATTAATTAATGTGCTTTTTCCAGCCCTTGCGGAGCCTACGCAAATTATTGCATTTTCATTTATATCAACATTCTTTTTCGCAAAATCCAATGCTAGAGAGAGAGTATTTTCTAATTTTTTTAACTCATCTCTGGAAAGTGTGCAATTTTTACTATTGACAAATGAGAATAGTAAACAGATAACAGCTATTCTTAACATGGTTGAACAATAATATTTCTTTTATAAAAGAATATACAAATTTTCAATTTATCTCAAATGATATTCAATGTCCTGAAAAACACAATAAATTATGAAAGATTTAAATCTTGATTATTACAAATTAGTTATTAAATTTAATGTAAATTACATACTAACTCTAAATCTGAATTTGTTCAAAATTACTGCGGAATATTGGGTTTACGTTTCCGGTACCATGGAATTGTGAACGCGTTTGAAAAGGATCAAAAGGTTTTGGCACAATTTTGTGTAATTCTTGAAGTGTAGTTAGTGCAATGTTTTAGAGAGTAGAGGGAAAAGTGTTGGGAAGCAAATAAAAAGAATGGAATCAAAGAATACAGATTCAGTACCCCATGTAAGCAGGCAGAAAATGGGAAATCTCACTTCCAGTCCCAAGAGATGCTCAAATGTGCAGGTATTACGGGGATGCACAACTTCTTGCAAGACCACATTTAGCGCTATCTACTTTAAAGTATACGATGGGCGATAGGATGACATCAAAATCTTCCAAGTCCTGATAAGTGTGTCGGAGGAGAATTATTTCGCGTCCCTGCGATTTCTTCTGCAACTTCCCAAGATTTCGATTGACTCTGTGGGCACGAAAACGTCTTTGTTCTAAAAACGTTTCTATAACATATTTCGAACGGTTCATGTCTGCTAGATAGCGGGTTAAGAAAGTTTAATGTTCTAAAAACGTTCTTGAGACGTTATGTGGAAGACATGAACCGTTCGAAATACGTTATAGAAACGTTTCAGGAACGTTTTCACAAAGACGTTTTCGTGCCCAGAGGGAAGATTTCCGTCGATTTTTATAGACTAATAAAATTTCTTTAATATTTCCTGACTTACAAAACAAGGAAATCATGATTCGAAGGAGTGACCTTGATGGGGGCTTCCAACGAAATGGTTGGCATCATGGATATGTTCGGTAGACCTTGCCGTGGTGGCGGGACTGTTCACTAAAGGACAACTAAAACAGCACGAATCTTGAAAAGGAGCTGTAAAAAAAGACTACCTGCAGGGTAATGCTACGGCTAAAAATCCCTCTTCTGTTCTTATCGTCAAGCTCATGGCATGGGGGTGATAAGCAGTGGCTCGTGGATGCAGGAGGGCAAAAACGCTTTAAAGATTCCACAGATCATCGTGGAAAGAATCCAAGTAGACAAAAGTGATGGACCGAGAAGAACACACACCAGTTTGGAAAGTGGTGGACTAGGACCCAGAAGAAGTAGGTATTCAAGTGCGGACAGCTGCATTATCGTTTCCAGCAACGCTTCTGCTGATGCTATCGCTATTGACCATCAGGATAGGGACACTTGTATTAAGCTGCGAGAGGAGGCGGCCTGCATTGAAAATATCGAGGAAGACGTACGCAAGATAGTGGAGTCCTACAAGATACAGACAAACGTCAATATGACGATTTAAAACGATCTGAAAAACCTGACAGAAATTGTGCAGGAGGTTAGGAAGAAGCATGAAGCCGCGAAGGAGTAGGTTGCGCGCTTCTACCACGGTATGTCCGTTTCGGAAGAAATACATGAGGATCGGAAGAGGAGACGAGAGCGATTCTAAGCAAAGGTCATTAGAAATGCCGTAATGGAGTGCTCTAGGAAAAGAAAGAAAAGTGAAAGTAATCCAGAGGTGACGAAAGAGGTAAAAAAAGGAAGTAAGCGCCATCTAAGACACCGAAGCCAAAACCAGATCATGGTAGTAGGGCGGGGTCGGCGGCTGGAGGATCAACAATGAGCGTCAGTGTCGCGGAAGGAATAATCACAAATAGTAGCTCCAACATTGCATTGCGTACGCCATCCAGTTAGTTAATAGTGATACTGTCTTCGCCGATTTAAAGGTTTCGGAATTTTTCAAAAAGTTACGAAGTTGCAAGTCCACATGAAGTCTACATGAAGATCACAACGCCGCCCTAGATTTTAGTGGAGTAACTAAAGCATCGCCGTATCTAAGTATTATCTAAGGTCTCTAAAAACAGCTGAATTTGTAGAATACACAAACAGTTTAGTGTGCGTGCCCAAATTTCTTGTGATTACCATCAGCCGAATTGTGTGTGCTACAAATCAGCTTGTGCGAAACACAAGATTTTGTAGCAGACAGCACAATTCTCAAGATTTTAGAGATGTACTTTATAAACCCGGAATTGCTAATTCGATAAATATTCATGTAATAAAGTTTGAATCTCCTTTAAAGCGCCTTTTTTCAAATTTAACATTTTACGATTTTTACAAGCTGGTGATCGTAATTGACGGAAATCGCATTCACCAATTTTAATAAATAATAGCTTGTTTTACTTAGTATTAATCCCTCTTTTATCTAAACTAAAAAGATTTAGAAACCCTATATGCTAAAAATTTCTGAGTTACTAATTTTATCAAAATTCGACAATTTTTATGTTTTGGTACATTAGGGTTTAATTATACAAAAAAATCACTTAATTTTAACCTTTAAAATAGATATCTTTAAGATTTATATATATTTTTCACTTATTTATAGCCCAGAATATAAACCAAAAATATTTTGAAGACTTCACCCTCTCTTTTTTAATTCTACATAGAAATAAAGATGAAAAACACTTTTCTTTTTTTGAAAAAATATGTTTTTTTACAATTAATGGTTCATTATTTTTCTATGTTTCATATAAAAAAAATTGACAGCAGAATATGAAAAAGTGATAAATAATTCTGAAATAGTATGTTTCAAATTTTTTAAATTTTCATTAATTTACAAAAATATCCTTAAAATTATGGTAAAAGTATTAATAAACACTTTTGATGAAAAAAATATTTTTATGTGTACTTTATTACTATAATAAAAAAAATTGCTCACAGTATTGTCGTCAGTTGTTTTTTTTTGTAAAAACAGGAACAATCTGTAAACTTTATTTTTGCTTTGTATGCGCTTAAACTCAAAAGCTATGTGACAGAAACCTAAATCTAGACTTCGGAAAGATTTATAAATTTTTACAAAATTTTACAGTTTGTAATTGAAGATATAATATAGCTGAAGTAATAAATTTTATATGCAGTTAACAAAAAGGTATGCTGAATAGTTAAGATTATTAAGATTATTATTATTATTATTATTATTATTATTATTATTAAAATTATTGAAGAAAAAATAAAAATTCATAGTTAAAAAAATGTAAGACAATATTTGTCGAAATTCAAAATGAAAAATTTTAAAACAACAATAATTTTTTTTATGTCTAAAAGATTAGAAAAATATTTTAACTTTTAAAAATATTAGCTTTTTATAATCTAAAAAGAATAAAAAAAATTATTATTTTAGTAAAATAAGAGAATTTTTTAGAACGTATAAAATTTGAGACATGATTTCGCAAAATATTGTAATATGACACAGCATTTTAAAAGCTTTGAACCAATAAGAAAACGACAGGTTTTTCTAGGATATTAAAAGTAAAAAATTTGTATCCGCCCATTATTTAGAATGTATGTTCCCAAAGCGCATTTTTATAAATAAATTTTATTCTTATTATTTTTCTATGAAACGATGTTTTTTTGAATTAAAAAAAATATAATCTTGATCTTTAATTGATTTAATTTTAGCTTTAATTTGGAAAAGATATCCCATGAATAATCTTTGGATAAGCTAGGAAATAATGTAGATAACCTTTGGACATCCTGAGATATTCTGTGCATTTTTTGGGATATTCTACATTAATTCAGGATATCCTTTTGTTGTTAGGCTGTGTTTAAAGACATCGATGTAACATCAAGTTTTCAATTTTTCTGATCAGGATAATCATAAATCTATTAGTTTTTAATAAATAATTGTTCTTTATAGTCTTTAAACGACCAGAGTTACAACAGAATATCTGCAGACTTTCAGCATACTGTCTGCAGACAGGAGTCTGCTTAAAGTCTGCGGAATGTCTGCAGACTTTCTGCAGATTTTTATACTTGAGTGTCGATTTTCTCCGATTAATTGTCATTAAAAAAATTTCGAACAACGTTCACGTGCCCTTGGATATCATAGACGTCGCATCAATGCTTCGGCAATGTTATAGCGCCTATGTAACAAACGGAGTCGATTCAGGGCCCATCTTGGCCAGATGGTAGTACCCTGTAAGGCCCGATAGTCCTTCTATGCGGGACAATTATCAAGTATGAGCGATTGTAAAAACATGTAAGAGTACATGCGGGGTAATGCTTCGACTATATTCCTCACTGATTTCGATCGTCAAGCGTCTGGATTGAGGACAATAAAAATCGAGACTAAGCGGGAGGAGGAAGAAGCTTACTTTCAAAGAATGGAGAAAGGGTCGAGTAAGATGCTGTGTTCCTGTGAAGTCCAGAAAAACGTCAATATGACGATTAAGGACGGACTGAAAAGCATAAAAACGCTCATACAGAAGAGCACGCAGCTGGAAAAAAGAGGATAAGAGGTTCTACCAACAATTGGTGTGGTCAGAGGAATCAAGACAAGATCGAAGAGTTAGACGCGACCGCCTTAACGCTGTAGTGTTAAAAAATGTCGTCTTGGAAGTTCAGAAGCGGAAGAGGAGCAGTCCTGAGTTGACTAAAAACTCGAAGAAGAAGAAGAAGAATAAAGAACTTCCAAAAAATCCGAAGAACCAAACACAGAATGAAGGAAAGCGACAGAAGAGATCATCAATGATTGTTAAAGTGTCTGAAGGTTCTGGAAAAGATCCGTGAGGAAGTGAACCCAGAAAAAAGCTTTACGATTTGTGTGGGAGCTGCACCCACCAAAAATGGAGACCTCTTTATCAAACTTAGAGGTTGTTCTGATAAGGAGACCTTCACCAATGAAGTGAATAGGGTGATTGATGACCTGGGTAAGGTGCAGATTGTAGACCGGCCAACTACTTTCGAGATCCGCGATCTGGATTGTCTTACAGAGTCAACAGATGTCCAGGATGCCCTGAATAGAGTTTCGGTTATGCCAGCTGGAAGCAGAAAGATAACTGTCCTGGGACCTAATAAGCGAGGTGTTAAGTTCGCTATTGTAGTAACCATACAGCAAGATGCAGTGAAGCTGATACATCTCGGCTACATAAGAGG